CTAGATTTCAGAGGATGCCTGGAAACGCCTGGATGTCCAGGCAGAAGCCCTCATGGAGAACCTCTACTAGGGCAGTGCAGAAGGGAAATGTGGGGTTGGAGCCCCCCTGCAGAGTCCCTGCTGGGGCACTGCCTAGTGGAGCTGTGAGAAGAGGGCCACCATCCTCCAGACCCCGGGATGGTAGATCCACTGACAGCTTGTGCCGTGCACCTGGAGAAGCCACAGATACTCAACGCCAGCCTGTGGAGGAGCTGCCCAAGGCCGTGGGAACCCAGGGTGCCCTGGATGTGAGTCATGGAGTCAAAGGACATTGTTTCAGAGCTTTAAGATTTAATGACTGCCCCGTTGGGTTTCGGATTTGCACGGACCCCGTGGCCCCTTTGTTTTGACGAGTTTCTCCCTTTTGAAACAGGAACATTTACCCAGTTCCCGCACCCCCATTGTATCTTGGAAGTAACTAACTTCCTTTTGATTTTACAGACTCGTAGGCAGAAAGGATTTTCCTTGTCTCAGATGAAACTTTGGACTTTTGAGTTAATGCTGGAATGAGTTAAGACTTTGGGGGACTGTTGGAAGGGATGATTGGTTTTGAAATGTAAAAGGGATGTGAGATTTGGGAGGGCCCAGTGATAGAATATGATCTGGTTCTGTGTCCCCACCCAAATCTCATTTCGAATTTTAATCCTCACAATCCCCATGTGTCGAGGGAGGGGTCGGGTGGGCAGTGGTGGGGTCTTGGGGGTGTGGTTTTCCCTGTGCTGTTCTTATGACAGTGAGTTCTCATGAGATCTGATGGTTTTATAAGTGTTTGACAGTTACTTCTACACACTCTCTCCTGCCACCTTGTGAAGAAGGTGCCTGCTTCCCCTTTTGCCATGATTGTGTTTCCTGAGGCTCCCCAAGCCATGTGGAACTGTGAGTCAATTAAACTTCTTTCCTTAATAAATTACCCAGTCTCAGGTCTATAGCTGTGTAATATGAACTAATAAAGGTGGGTTTTCAACATGTTGCCCAGGCTGGTTCCCAAACTCCTGGGCTCAAGCCTCAGCCTCCCAAAGTGCTAGGACTGCAGATGTGAGCCACTGCCCCCAGCCTGCCCATTACATCTTGAATGATCAGGAGGCACAGTTGTCTGGAGGTTCAAGGTCTCCCACGGGGGTTTCTGAAGAGGTGACATCATCGTGCCTCTTAAACTGGGTTAGGGGACTGAGGGGGTCACTGTCCTAGGCCAGAACATGCAGTTTTATAGATGCTTTGGTAGGGGTGGCATATTTCATAGCCCTCCAAAAAATCAAATAATTAGCATTTAAAGAATAATACTGGCTGGGCCTGTATGGGAAAAACCCCCCAAGTGCCATGGCAAGGGTCTGAAGCCTCAGCCTGTTCCCATGTAAGTATTGATCTAGAAAAGAATGAGAAATGTAGGCACACAGTTATTCCTTTATGTAATCACATATAATCTTGTAGTTACTTAAAATCATAAAGATACACTCAAGATAGCCTTTAATTTTACTAATGACTCTCAGGTTATGAAGCGTGGACCTGAGGTGACTTTGTGAACAAAGTGACCCTAAGTCACGATGCTCTAAGCCCTCTGTCACGCCGCATCAGGGCTGCTGGAGGGCGCCTCGGCTGTGCGGCAGTGCCCGCGCTGGGAAACCCCTCTGTTTAGCCAGCTAGGGGAGGAGACGCCCAAGATGGCCGAGACTTCCCCTTCCTGGGGAAGTTTGGAGAAGACTCCACTTCTCCAAGCTGTTGTGGTGCGGCCTGACGGTTATCAGAGACGCCCGCAGACACCGGACGCTTAACTGTCCCTATGTGAGGCTGTGCTTCAGCGGTCACGTTCCATGTCCACTCTCACGATCTGCTTCTGCACCTGGTTTCTCTTTTTCTCAGAAGATAAGAATTAATAATAGTAACATAATCTTAGTGTCCTTGACATTTCTGACAAATACGCAAAGAGCGCTGAGGCATTAGGTTTTCTCCTCGCCTCGGCTACGTGAAAGTCCTGGGCCCCGTCTCCAAGACACGTGATTACCTGACCCTGTCACCGACCACCAGTGCCTCACCCTGCCTACCCTGCCCCCTGCTTTGTACTCAGTAAAAGTCAGCGTGTCCAGGCGCTCGGGCCACTGCAGGTCTCTGCGCTTCGGCTGGCAGTGGACCCTGAGCCCAAACTCCCTTCTCCGTCTCTGTGTCTGTCTTTATTTCTACAGTTTCTCATCTCTGCACCAGCAGGGAGGGGCTCACAGAACCCTACAGGGCTGGACCCTACATGAGCCTGGTGACTCACACCTGTAATCCCAGCACTTTTAGAAGGTTGAGTGGGGAGGACTGCTGGAGTGCAGGAGTTTGAGACCAGCCTGGGAAACTTGCAAACCCGTCTCTACAAAAAATATAAAATTAGCCAGGTGTGGTGGCACATGCCTGTAGTCCCAGCTACTTGGGAGGCTGAAGTGGGTGGATGGCTTGAGCCCAGGAGGCGAAGTTTGCAGTGAGCCATGATCATGTCACTGCACTCCAGCCCAGGGGACAGAGCCAGATACTGTCAAAAAAAAAAGAAGTGTGATTGTCACATTCGTCCGCTGACTAGCATGAGCCAGTGAAGGTTCTTACTTGTGGCCCCGGTTCCTCCCCATTCTGGTGCCTTCAGGAAGTGTTTCTGAATGGCCTGTTTCCTGGTGTTCTGAGTGCCACCCAGATGGCCTCAAGTCCTGGTGCTTTCATTTATACTTAAAAAAGAAAAGTGTTGCCTGGAAGCAACCCAAATGCCCATCGACGATAGACTGGACAGGGAAAACGTGGCACATCCACCATGGAATACTATGCAACCATCAAAAACGATGAGTTTGTGTCCTTTGTAGGTACATGGATGAACCTGGAAACCATCATTCTCAGCAAACTGACACAAGAACAGAAAATCAAACACCAAATATTCTCACTCATAGGTGGGTGTTGAACAATGAGAACACATGGATACAGGGAGGGGAGCATCACACAGTGGGGTCTGTCGGGGGGAAATAGGGGAGGGACAGTGGGGGTGGGGAGTTGGGGAGAGAGAGCATGGGACAAATGCCAGATATAGGTGATGGGGAGGAAGGCAGCACATCACACTGCCACATGTGAACAATCTTGCATGTTCTTCACATGTACCCCAACACCTAAAATGCAATAAAAAAAGTATTGTCTTGTTACCTAAAGTTTTGCTATTTCTGATGTTCCATGTTGATTGTACACTATGCCTTTGATTGGACCACCGAGAGAAAAAGCATGTAGCAAATTAGGCGGATGTGGCCTGTGATGGTAAGATGCTAAATTTCCAAGACAGTGAAATGAAGAAAGGAAATGTGTTAGCATTTATGAAGCCCGTGCTTTAAAACCCACACCAAACAGCTACACGATTCCTAGAAGCATTCAAGGGGTGTGATTTTTTCCAGGCTGTAACTTTGGAAACTGCTCAGCATGAGGAACCATGGACTCAAGTCTACCCTCATTCAGCCCCATTTTCACGACAGAGGCTGTTCCAGAGCCTCAGACGTTGGCCCCTGTGTACCCCGACGCGGGCCCTGGACCCTGCAGGAGGAGGGAATTGCATTCTTCCCTTGTTTAAGCAAGTACTCAGGTTGTCTGTTAAGTGGGGAGCTGAAACTAGTGATTCGGGCCTCGTTTCATGTTCTTGTCTTCCTGGGCTGCTGGAGCCTCCGTCTGAGTGGGTATGAGTGGCCTGGTCCACACAGTGAAACCTGTCTCTACTAAAACACAAAAAAATTAGCCGGGTGTGGCGGCGTGCGCCTGTAGTCCAGCGACTGGGGAGGCTCCGTTTCAGGAAAAAAAATGGATGCAGCCCACGTACGATTAATTATGATGCTGGCTTTTTAAACAATCAGTAACATTCTTCATACTGAGGTTTTACCCTCCCCACTTGTCGGAAGAAAAATTGAGGTGGAATAAAGAGATAGCTTCCAGGCAGAGATGAAGCTTGGACTGGAACCCTGGACCAACGTGCCCAAGGCCTGAAACACAGCCCTGCTGTCAACAAGAGTTCGAGCACAATCTGCTCTTACAGAAAGGCCTCGGTCGCGCAGGGAGCCCACGCAGCAGCCAGGGAAGGAGTGGACGGGCGGGACGAAGGTAGACTTGAGTCCATGGTTCCTTCTGCCTCAAGTGCTTGGAGCCTGCATGACACACTGGGCGATGTCAGCTCTGAACCTGAGGCTCTGAGGTTCCTCGATTCCAGGTCGATGGAGATCTCAGAGGTTTGACCTGTGGAGCCGGCAGCCGCTGCAGATGACCACCTGCTTCTCCAGCCACACCCAGAGTCGCAAAAGGAATGGGCCGTCAGGCAATGCCAGTGTGAGGGCCCAGAAGCACCTGTCACATGCTGTGGGAACAGGGCCTCTGAAGGGAGACATGGTGGGGGTCCCTACGGTGCCAGCCCTGAGAGCCCTATTTTATCAAAACAGAGCCCTTTCTCCAGGACACACTGCCTCAGCTTCTCTCTGCACTTCAATGCCAGCCCCAACCTCCCGGCTGCAATTCCTGCTACAGGCTCTGTGCCCCACGATGGCACTTGTGATGGGTCCTGCACCCTCTGGGGCAGCACCTCACGGCCCCCAGCACCCCACACCACCCAAGCACCCCATGCCCCCCAGCATCCCACACTCCGAGCCCCCAGTACCCCTCAACCCAATACCCCACACCCCCAGCACCCCATGCCCCCCCAGCACCCCACACCCTCAGAGCCACCTGTGCCCCTGCCTGTGGGCATCACCACCTACCCCGCCAGGTCTGCTGGCTAAGTGGTGTCGTAGGGACAACTGGGCATGATTCCCAAAGCCAGGTCAGCCGTGCAGTGCACCGTACCCCGCTACGCAGCTCTGAGGGGGGCCAGGACTTTATAAACCTTCCTGAAAACTGAGGGTGGAAAGCAGAATACCCATGGGTAGCAATAACCACCCCCAGCGAACTCAACACAGAAGTGAAGACTCAAGACCAGTGTGTAAAATACTATTTCATGTGTTTAAAAATACATTCTCAGGGTGGGCCTGCAGGGGAGGCAGGACGTCCGCATCTCATTCCCGATAGCGTGCTGGGTTGTTTCCAAAATCCGTGGGTCCCCCACGGTTCCTGATGACAGGTGCTGATGCCATTTGCTGAGGGACAGAGACAGGGAGGATGGCGAGGGCCTGGGCCACAGCACCTCAGAGAAAGGCCCGGGCTGGTGTCACTCCAGTGGCCACTCCTGAGCCCATCAGTGCTGTTTGGTTTTCTTCTTGCTGCTTTTAAACCCTCGAGCGGCACCCTGACCAAAGCAGATGGTAGCGGGTATCCTGGGATGGAAGAAAGCTCCGTGTTAGATGCTGTATTTTCTTTGCCAACAAACAGCCCAGCTCATAACAGCAGCAAGAAAGCTGCCCAGGTGCCAGGGCAAGAGACTGAAGGCACAATCCGTCCCAGAACAGCAAACCATTACTTAGTTTTAGCAATGATACCAAATATATTTAGAAACGATCCATCATATAACCAATCTTATCAAATCGTTATTCTTTACTATTAATCTTTGCTTTAGTATTATAGCGTAAAAACATCTTAGTCTTATACAATAGAAACAACCAGGTGAAATACGATTAGGAACCGAAGGGACATGGTGAGACATGATCAGGAGGCGAGAGTGAGAGCCTTGAGGTGACGCCAGCACCTGGGGAGGTGCCCACTACTTAGCAGGCCTTGAGGTGACGCCAGCGCCTGGGGAGGTGCCCACTACTTAGCAGGCCTTGAGGTGACGCCAGAGCCTGGGGAGGTGCCCGCTGCTTAGCAGGCAGGCCTTGAGGTGATGTCAGCGCCTGGGGAGGCGTCCGCTGCTTAGGAGGCCGTGAAGGGGAGTTTCCCTTTCACTGGGGGAATTCTGAGAACACGGCTCGGCCTGGCTCTTGAGGAAGGCCCAACATTAGCCAGGCCGGCCCGCAGACATCCAGGGGCTTAAATGCCTCTCTGCGGTGCTGTGCTCCGATGGTCACCATCCTCATCCACTTTCAGGTTCCACTTTCCCACCTGGCTCTCCTGTTAAGTTCTTAAGTTGTGAGAGGTAAGAGTAGGGGGAGCCTTTGATCTTTCTGATGAGTGCAGAAAGATGCTGACACATGTGCCTCTCTTCCTTGCAGTGGTGACCTGAGAGGGAAGGGCCTCCTGTACTGTAAGCATGTGATTTGCTTGACCCTATCCATCACGTCACGAGTCACTCTCCTGACCCTGCTCCCCGCCTTGTAAACAATAAATACCAGCACATCCATGCTTTTGGGGTCACTATGGGACTCCGCGCCTTGGCAGCAGTGGTTCCCTGGGCCCAGCTGAATTCTTCTCTGTGTCTTGTGACTTTTTCCTGTGATCTATGTCTCTGCACACAAAAGAACGCCCACTAGACCCTGCACTTCTCATTCTCTTTCGCTCTAGGAACAGGCAGAATGCACGGCCAGCCAGCCCTCCCAGGTGCCAGGGCAGCTCCCTTTCCACAGCTGCTCTCAGACCCACTTCCTGTGGGAGATCCTGCCGGCCACCTGTGCCCACCGGCCGGGAAGGACTCCACACTTTTATAGCGTGGTTTTCGAGAATGATTATGGTGGCTCCTGCCAAGCCCTTGGGGCTGAGAGCGGTCCTGCTACCCGACGACCCCCCGACGGAAAGCCCTACAGCCCCAGCCCCCAGCTCATTCAAAGGCCAAAGTCTGAGGGTGCAAGGATCACCGGCTTCATCTTCCATCTGTTTAGATTGTTTGGTGATTTTTTTCCCCAATTGTTCAACATTTTCTCCAAGTTAATCTGCAATCAACTTTAACCCAATAAAAGCACAGTTAATCCTACAAAGACAGCTGCTGGGTCGTAACTGAGGCACCTGCAGGTGAAATCTCGCCATCCCACTCAGACGACGAAGAGGGTGGGACTTGGCACTCCTGCACTTCAGTGGCTCAGAAACGGTATGCAAGAGAAACTAAGTTACTCATAGGAACGGAAATATCGGGACTTTCACCTCTGGCAGCAGCAGATTTTCTTACCCAGCGCTACCTTTCTGAATTCAGTGTGAGAAAGACAGCAGCCCAGGATGCAGCCTAGAATGCTCAGCACTAGCGCACATTCAGAACGTGTTTCAGAAAGAGGTCCGGCACTGACCTGTGACTGCAGGTCCGCCTCTCACCCACCGGTGCAGGGGAGGCCACCACAGGCTCAGTGCAGATTTCCATGGCGTCCCCTTCTGACCGCTCTCCGCTGTTCCCCTGGACTTCTGCAGAGGCTTTGGTGCCGGCCCCTGGTGAGGCTGGGCTGTGGGGACACAGCAGTGAGCAGCAGCCCTGCGTGGCTCCTACAGCCCCAGTCCTCCCCAGAAATGAACTTGCAAGAAAGAAACTATGCTTTTCCTTGTAAATAGCATATTTACTTACTATTTTGGCACAGTCTAATTTTATAGTGTGGTTTTCGGGCTACTGGGAAAAGGAGAATGATGACAGCAACGTCATTGTTTATATAACAAAGCCTGCATTTTATAAACTTCACTGTAACAATCATACTTTTTCTGAAAATAGTATTTTTCTGGTGCCAATGGTGCCACAGGTCTCTTTATGAGTGTGAGAAATTTGCTAAAGTTAACCAGAGACTAGAGTCACTTTGGTAATAGAGGTATCTCAATCCAGCACTGCAGTTTTTCTCCTTAAAATGATCCCTCAGAAAGGAGACAATTACTTTGTACAGTCTTTATAAAGCCTCCCATGTTACAGCGGGTTCTCCCAATTATTTTATTTTAAACAGCAAAGTACTACGTGAGAAAATGTCTGAAAGGTTCACCTAAAATAATCAGCTAAAAAAAGAAAAAATATAAGACAACTTAAGAGTTGCTCTGTCTGGACATGGTGGCTCACAGCTGTAATCGCAGCACTTTGGGTGGCTGAGGCAGGTGGACTGCTGGAGCCCAGGAGCTCAAGACCAGATTAGGCAACACAGAAAGACGTTGTCTCTGCAAAACAGAACAATTTCCCGAGTGTGGTGATGTGTATTGCTAGTCCTAGCCCTTTAGGAGGCGGAAGTGGGAGAATCTCTTGAGCCTGGGAGATGGAAGTTGCAGTGAACGTAGATCACAACACTGCACTCCAGCCTGGGTGTCAGAGTGAGACCCCGTCTCAAAAAAAGGATTGTTCCTGGAGGTTATTTCCCCAGAGTGTGCTGTTTCTGTGGTAACGTGTTAGTAAACGGCTTTGTCGTCAAGCTCACATGTGCACACCTAGGACAAAGAGAAAGCTGAGGCTGAGTGATGTGGGCTGCAGGAGGTAGAGGCACAGCCCTGGGGGGTGTGAGTGTGGAGGTGCTGTGCCCGGTCATTCCCGCACCCCCTCTCCTGCCTCCTCGGGCATGAAGTCAGGCAGCCAAGGCTCCTCTCCAGCCTCCCTTTGGCAGGGTGGCCTGTGTGCTCCCAGGGCTTCAGGTACCTGCGGGTGAACACCCCTGAGAGACACACAGGTGCTTAACCGTGGCGTCTAAGTCTGACAGTCTGTGCATTAGGCTGGTTGGAAGCCTTTCCCTAAAATCAAAGGCAGGCAGTGCTGGGCCTGGCAGCTCCCTACCTTCTGCTTTTCTTTGGCTTATCAAAACGGAAGTCCACGGGGTACAGGTGCGTCCTCACCATGTGATCCTTCCGGTCTCTGCTGGTCTTGAACTTCTCTGTGCAGCCTTCTACCAGGCACTGGTACTGAAATGGAGACAGCATCACCTCCCTCTGACCCCCGGCCCTCCCCCACTACCATGCCCCCAGAGCTGGGCTGCCAAGGGCCGGAAGGTGTCCCTGGCCTTGCCTTCGCACAAAGAGCTAGGGGCAGCGCTCCGAGCCTATTACACTGGGGGTGGGCTCAGCGGCTGTGCAGACGTCACCCACCATGTCCTGCCTCTCGGACAGGATCTGGAAGAGCGAATCGTGCCACTCCAGGATGTGGGCATCCAGCAGGTGTCCGGAAGGGAAGGCCCGTTTGCAAAAGGAGCAAACGTTTCTGTGCAGCGTGTGGTAGTGGTGCTCGTAGTCGTCTAGGGCATCAAACACTTGGCAGCAGCCGGCCACCTGGCAGGTGAACGCGGGCACCCTGCCAAGGAGACCTGCTCAGGGGCCCCTCCTCTGGTGCGAGGAACCAAGCTGGACTTTCTACCCAGTTTCCCTTTGAGACGTCCCATAAAACCCCCATGCATCTTTTGTAATTCCAAGCCCTCTTTTTATAAATAAAGTTTCACAAACAGGCTCGGTGGTGGAGAAGCCGGGCACGCCAAAGCTGGACAGGCGCAGTGCCTCGGTGGGGCAGCCGCACTTTAAGGAGCCGGGCGCCATGCCCCAGGGACGAGGGAGGGGGCAGGGAGGTACAGGAGTGGCACTGGCCGGGCGCTGCCCAGCCGCTCACCTGGGCTTCTCAGGCACATCGGCCACCTGCAAGAGCACGTCCTGGAGGTAAAGGTGGCGCTGCACGTCCCCATCCTGCAGGAAATGTGCGTCGTGGGTGTGACCGGGTGCCTCCCCCCACGGCCACTGCGTGAGGCCCCACCCATCCCGGGCTGCGGTCCCGCCCCACAGCCATGGGCTCCACCCTCCACGGTTCGGCCCCACCCCGCGGCCATAGACCCTGCCTGCCCAAGGCTGAGGCTCTGTCCTGCAGTCACAAGTCCCGCCTGCCCCAGGTTCCGCCCCTGCCTCGAAGCCTCAGGCCCCGGCCCCGCCCACTCCAGGCTCCAGCCCCGCCCCGCAGCCTTAGGTCCTGCCCGTCCCAGGCTCCAGCCCCGCCCCGCCCCGCCACCGTAGGCACCGCCCACTCGAAAATCCAGCCCCACCCTGCAGCTTCAGGTCCCACCTGCCCCAAGCTCCGGTACCAACCGGCAGTTATAGGCCCCGCCTACTTCAGGCTCCACTCCCACCCCGCGGCCTCAGGTCCCGCCCACTCCAGGCTGCGGCCCCGCCCCGCAGCCGTAGGACCCACTGGATCCTACAACTGCCCTTTTCCTCTTTCCCTCAATCACCTCGAAGAACTCGTGCTCCCGCGGGAAGCGCACCGGGCGCGCAGCGAAGCGAAAAGGCGCGGCATTGGCCGTGGGGTCCCGCGCTACAGGCAGTGGCTCGGCCGTCCCGGGCCCCGCGGCGAGGCGGGCGCGGAGCGCAGGGGGCAGCTGCATCACTCTGGGCGCGGGCCCGCGCAGCCAGTCGGCCACCGTCCGCCAGCCGGGCCGGAAGTGACGTCTCGCGCACTTCCGCCGCCGTCAGGGGCTGCGCGGGCTCTGTGGTTCTGCTGCTGCGGTGAGTCCTGGCCGGGCCCTGGCGGGGGTGCTGGGGGACTGTCGGGCTCGGGAGGCCACGAGGCGACGGGACGGCGGGAAGCGGCTCTTCCCACGCGCTCCTCTGGCTGCGCAGCGGTCCCCGGGCTCTTGGCCGAAGCCCCTCGGGCCTGTGCCGGCCAGGTCAGCGTCTTGCCCGGCGGCCCGACCCTGAGCTGGGACGGGACGGAGCGGGCCTCCGGATCGTCCCGGGTGTCCCCTCCCGGCCCTGGGAAGCGGGGTCGCAGGTCCGTCTCTCTCACTCCCTCTCCCGTCCACCTTGCCCCGGCTCCCGCCTGTCGGACCGCGTAGCCCCTGGATCTTGTTCCCTCTAAACCGGTCTCGAACTGGGGCCAAAGGGGCTCCGGTTGTATTGTAACCGTTTTTAACTCAAAGCTCTTGGGTGACTTCCTGTTACCTTAGTTCAAAGGCCCTTTCCTGGCTTGCCGGGGTCCTGGCGACCCCTCCAGTCCCTGCAGCTCCCATGAAACACCTGTGCTCAGGGTGTGTGGGTGAAGGCATCAGAGGAGAGCGCGACAGCCTAGCAGGAGAGACAGACGTCAGACTAAAGAGTTACCTGATGCCGGGCGCGGTGGCTCACGCCTGTAATCCCAGCACTTTGGGAGGCCGAGGCGGGTGGATCATCCCCGCCAGGTCAAGAGATCGAGACCATCCTGGTCAACATGGTGAAACCCCGTCTCTACTCACAATACAAAAAATTAGCTGGGCACGGTGGCGCGTGCCTGTAATCCCAGCTACTCGGGAGGCTGAGGCAGGAGAATTGCCTGAACCCAGGAGGCGGAGGTTGCGGTGAGCCGAGATCGCGCCATCGCACTCCAGCCTGGGTAACAAGAGGGAAACTCCGTCTCAAAAAAAAAATAAAAAAAAAAAGAGTTACCTGATTAAGATGGTGATTGACAAAACGTGAGAAGCAGTGCACGCTTCAGGTCTGCTGCAGAGGATGGGCCCGGTGATGGCGGATAGAGGCTTTAGCTTTCTAGCTTCGTCACCCAGGCTGGAGTGCAGTGGTGTGATCATAGGTCGCAAACTCCTGGGCTCAAGTGGTCCTCCTGCCTCAACCTTCTAAAGAGCTGGGACTGCAGGTGTGAGCCGCTAGGTCTGCTCCTGTACTTTTTCCGTGTTTAGATACAACAAATATTTCTGTGTTACAGCTGCTCAGTGTGCAGCACAGCACCTGCTGCGCAGGCTTGTAGCCCACGAGTGAGGCTCCACCAGACTTAGGTGCGTGGTAGCCTGTACACCGTCTAGGTCAGCAAGTCACTCCATGGAGATCGCACAGAAGGAAATTACCTAACCATGTATTTCTCTTTTTTCTTTTGGAGGTAAAAGTCTTTCTCTGTCACCCAGGCTAGAGTACCGTGGCCTGATCTTGGCTCACTGCAACCTCTGCCTCCTGGTTCAAGCCATTCTTGTGCCTCAGCTACCCAAGTAGCTGGGATTATAAGTGTGCGCCACCAGGCCTGGCTGATGTTTGTATTTTTGGTAGAGACTGGTTTTCGCCATGTTGGCAGGCATTTCTCAGAATGTTGAGTGAGGCATGACTGTACTGTCTCTGTAAAAGCATTTGGGCCCTTGACGTTGTAAAATAACATTTTTCAAGTCAATTTGTGCAGTTAGGTTTGAGCTCTCCACAGAGGCTCTCGTTCAGGTTCCTCTGTGTGCCCCGCTTGTCCGTGGTGGACTGTGACATATGTGCCTTGCTTCCTCAGCACTGGTCCCTGTGGTCACTCACGGCTGTGGGAGGAGGACTTCAGTCCTGCCCAGTCACAGATGCTGGGCCTGTCTATTTGCGTGATTAATAGTAAGAATTCAGAAGCATCGAGAAGAAGTGAGGGGCCATGGCTAAATCCTCCTCTGAGCTGTGTTTTCAGTGGGACTCTGCTCGTTTCTGGCGGGACGTTAGTGTCCCTGGCCCTTGCCCATTAAGTACCAAGACCACCCTTCAGTCACTGTGACACCCCAGAGTTGGTTGCCTCAGGATTTTCCCAAAGGTCCCCTGGAGGGAGGGACCCCGTGCTCGTGTGGGCTTCCCTTCTGGAGGCATGGTCCCCACATTCCGGGAGAGCAGCAGGCTCCTCGAAAAATGAGCACTCGTGACGTGCAGATGTCCATGCTTTATTTCTACAAGAGATGTAAAGCTTTCTGAAGGTAGTTTTAAAATAAATATTTACTTAGATGATTTCTCTTCAGGGGTAGGTTTCTCTCCTGACTTGTGGGAGAGAAACAAGTAGGAAAGTGCTTTGTTTCTGGTGGCAAATGGTTTTCTTGCCACTGAGCGTGACCAAAGTGTTTCTCAGTCCAGCAGTTACAGGACAGCCTGCAGTCCCTGGGGAGCTGAAGAGAATGTGGGTGAAACAGGTTTCCCTTGGATTCGAAGAGGCTGCTAGATGGAAAGTTTTGGGTTGTCTTTTCTGCTTCACAGGTAGTTTGCGGGGCCTCATCCCAGACTCCCCATGACTATTAAAAAAGCAACTGGTAGGCCGGGCGTGGTGGCTCATGCCTTAATCCCAGCACTTTGGGAGGCTGAGGTGGGCGGATCACGTGGTCGGGAGATCAAGACCATCCTGGCCAACATGGTGAAACCCTGTCTCTACTAAAATACACAAAATTAGCCAGGTGTGGTGGTGCGCGCTTGTAGTCCCAGCACTCAGGAGACTGAGGCAGGAGAATCGCTTGAACTTGGAAGGTGGAGGTTGCGGTGAGCTGAGATTATGCTACTGCACTCCAGCCTGGGGACAGAGCAAGACTCCATCTCAAAAAAGAAAAAAGCAGCTGGTAGTTTAAGATGTTATCAGTGATTGGGACCCAATTTTTCCTTTTGTAAACGTAACCATTTCCCAGATAACAGTGTTACCATCTCCAGGCAGTAATGGTGGCAGTGTGTTTGCATCTGCTTTTCTGGTAGCCACGGTGCAAGATTACCATGTATGAGCCCTTCTGTGCTTTCTCAGGATGATTTCACTTCTCTCCACCACAGCTCAGGCAGGACCAGTGGCTTCCCATTTTCAGAATAAGCTTGGAGAGGACGTGTCCTTGTTCAGGGTCCCGCCGCCTGGAAGTGGCCACCTCACTGTTGGGTGTGGGTGGGACTCCACAGCGGGTGCCCTGCTGGCCTGTGGGTTAACTGCAGTTAACCGTGAGTGCCTCCTGAGTCAAGAGCACGTGCCGAGCAGCTCAGGGACCCTGCATGCTGGTTGCTCTACTTCCATTTTTGGAGATACCCTGCCTGTGACCAGCATTTGATGTTCATATACGGAGCAGCCATTTTTTGTCACACATGATTCAAATCTCACCTTCTCATTGTCGGGCCCCGATAGTCATCAGCAAGTTAGAGTGTGGTGGGAGTGTGTGCCGAGTCTCCTGTATTCGAGGTTTAGTTGAGCTCGTCCTTGTCTTCCTGAAGCTGTCGGCAGAGTCGTTATTTACCTTTTTTGGGTCCTAATGCGTTTAAGAGTTTGTTGAAGGGCCATCTCCTCAGAAAATTCACAGATGATTTTGCCTGTAATTTTCAAGGGCTCATGTGTTATGTATTATTCATGGACACCAGATTAAGAGCCCTTGTGCCGATGAATTGAAATGTTTGTGAAGTATGTAAAGTTTACTTGTATTTGTTTTTTAATCTGTAGCCAGTGCCTGTGTGTTGTTTTTGTTTCATTTTGTTTTGTTTTGTTGAGACAGGATCTCCCTCTGCTGCCTGGGCTGGAGTGGCACAAGCGATCCTCCCCCCTCAGCCTCCCAAGTGGGAGACTATGGGCATACGGCACCATGCCCAGCTGATTTTTGTATTTTTTTTGTAGAGACAGGGTCTTACTATGTTGCCCAGGCTGTCCTGAACCCCTGGCCTTGAGCGATTGACCTCACTCAGCCTCCCAAAATGCTGGGATTACAGGGACGAGCCACTGCAGACAGCCAGGTGTTTGTCTTCATGGCCTCGTATCAGAGCTCCTGATGACAGTGGCTAATGACCAGCCGCTGATGGGAGAGTCAGGGCAGTGCTCACCCAGCACCCTGACCCAGGGGCGGCACTTACTTAGCACCCTGACCTGGGGCGGCTCTCCCTGCACCCTGACCCCGGGGTGGCTCACCCAGCATCCTGACCCAGGGGCGGCACTTACTCAGCACCCTGACCCAGGGGTGGCTCACCCTGCACCCTGACCCAGGAGTGGCACTTACTCAGCACCCTAACCCAAGGGCAGGCTCACCCTGACCCCATGCAGTGTTCAAGCATGTCTGTGACGGCTTCGATCTCATATGTGTCATGTGTCTCCTGGCGAGACCCTGGGACAGCTGGTCAGCAGGGCAGCTTGAGCTGCAGTGGAACCTCACTTAGCTCAGCCGTGTAGGGAACGTGCAGAAATCTTACCGGAAGCATCTCTGTGGGTAGCCGTGCTTGGGTAGGAAAAGGAGGTGTCATGGGTCTGGGAGTCCAGAAGGAACAGCTCGATGGGGGAGGCACTGCAGGGTCTCTCAGGCGGAGGCTGTGATTTCACTGTGTGCACTGGGAGCTGGATGGGGGAGGCACTGCAGGGTCTCAGAGCCAGTGTGGGCCTCCCAGGCGGAGGCTGTGATTTCACTGTGTGCACTGGGAGCTGGCACGCTGTGTATGGCTTGGGCCTCTGCACAGCTCCCTGTGTAGCCCCACAGGCAGGACCTCATGTCTGCACATCTGGGACCAGAACGCTCTGCCTACCAGCCGAGGTGAGCAGCAGAGCATTTCCTGCTGGCCCAGACCCTTGTGTGGAGGGAGATGCAGGAGAAAGGGAGCCCCTGGGTCTCAGGCCACATTCACGCTGCCCACAGGCCAGCTCCCGGAGCTGTGGAGGCTGCCTGGAAGCTGGAGGCCAGAGAATCCCAGGCCCATGCACAGGACCCTCTGAGAGGCTGCTGGGGTGTCAGGGAAGAGGCCCTAATCCCAGTCCCGTGCAGAGGACCCTCTGAGAGGCTGCTGGGGGGTTGGGGAAGGGGCCCTAGGCTAGGCAGGCCAGGTAATAACTTGGGTTTGTCAAAGGTCTGACATTGGCCAGGCTTGAGTGTCAGAAAATATATTTTTATTTATACAGTTTTAATTTTATGAATAGCTGCCCTCTTACCTTGAGGAGAACATTTTGTGATGTTGGTGCCTCAGAGCCATAACTATGAGTGAATTTCGGATTCACCATGATGTCAATGAACTGCTTAGCCTTCTGCGTGTCCACGGAGGAGATGGGGCTGAGGTCTACATTGACCTGCTTCAAAAGAACAGGACCCCATACGTCACTACCACCGTCTCTGCTCACAGCGCCAAGGTAAGCACCCCCCTTGGTGTAGTGCCGTGTGGGGTGAGCACGGCCCCGGGGCCAGGATGGTGCAGGGTGAGCACCGCCCCTGGTGCAGGGCTGTGTTTGGTGCAGGATGCAGAGTTGGGGCCCTGTCCTGGGTGGCCTCAGTGGTGCTGGGAATGACGGCAGACAGCACTTGGGCTGTATGCATTCAGCTCTGATTCTGCTGCCTCCTCAGCAGCTCCTATGACTTCCCACTGTGCAGATGAGTAAATGGAGGCCCAAGGAGAAAGCTGGGCCTAGAACCCTTCCTCTTGCCCACTCCATCCCCTGCAGCCATGAGGGGAGAGTCCTGACGTGCATTCCTGTGGATAAAAAGGAGGCACTGGTGTTGACCATGCTGAAGTCCCTTTAAGATGTTCTTTCTTTGTTCAGATGATATGTAATTCAGAATTACAGGTTTTCAGAAAATGATTTTCAATTTGAAGTCTATTTTTAAAAGTACATTATGAATCTTCAGTTATTTAAACTGGCTCAAAACAGGGATAAGGCACAAGGATGATTAGGCCGATGAGCTGAGTGGAATAGAGAGTTGAGGGACACACGTTCAGTTCGTTCTGAGGGAAGCATTGTCAGTCACTGAGCAAAACACCCCTAAGCTTGCACATATCATACATTCTTGAGGCAGTACGGTGAGATGTGTACAGTGAACTCACGGACTCCTGGGAAGAAACGCAGGCAGCTACTCTCTGTGCAAACCTGAAGAAGCGTGAAAAGGCCAGGCGCAGGGACTCACACCTGTAATGCCAGCACTCTGGGAGGCCGAGGAGGCTGGATGGCTTGAGCCTGGGTGTTCACCCTGGGCAATGTGATGAAATCCTGTCTCTACAAAAAATTAAAATAATAAGGAGAAGCACAAAAGGAAAGAAACCGTAATGGGAAATGTAGATAAGCTGTGTTTTGTTTTGTTTTGAGACAGAGTCTCATTCTGTCACCCAGGGGAATGCAGGTGACACCATCTTGGCTCACGGCAGCCTCAGCCTCCCAGGCTCAAGTGATCCAACCACCTCAGCCTCCTGAGTAGCAGGAGTGCCACCACACCTTGCTAATTTTTTAATCTTTTTGTAGAAATGGGGTTTTGTGGGCTGGGTGTGGTGGCTCATGAAGGTAATCCCAGCACTTTGGGAGGCCAGGGCAGGCGGATCACCTGAGGTCAGGAGTTTGAGACCAGCCTGGCCAACATGGCAAAACCCTGTCTTTACTAAGAATACAAAAATTAGTTGGGTGTAGTGGTGCACACCTGTAATCCCAGCTACTTAGAAGGCTGAGGCAGGAGAATCACCTGAACCCGGGAGGTGGAGGTTGCAATGAGCCAAAGTCACGCCATTGTACTCGAGCCTGGGCGACAGAGTGAGACTCCGTCTCAAAAAAAAAAAAAAGAAATGGGGTTTTGTTCTTTTGCCCAGGCTGGTCTTGAACTCCTGGACTCAAGCAATCTACCCGCCCTGACCTCCCAAAGTGCTGGGATTACAGGTGTGAGCCACTGCCTGGCTCAAAACATGGATAAGTTTAACATAATGTTCAGATGAGTTTTCTTAGTTTGTTTCAGAGAGATGATTATTTAGCCTACCCAAGTTTAACTCTTGGTTCTTTGTGCTTAATTTTTTTGAAGATTTTTTTAAAGTGCTTTATTAATTACTGTCATTAAGTCACTCATGTTTGTGCTTTTGAGGTTAAAATTGCAGAGTTCTCTCGTACTCCAGAAGACTTTCTAAAGAAATATGATGAACTGAAATCTAAAAATACGAGGAACCTTGACCCACTGGTGTACCTGCTGTCAAAGCTCACGGAAGACAGAGAGGTAGGTGCCATGCGGCCTGCCATGCGGCACCGTGCACCCGTGTCGGGATTGAGGTGGCATCTCGTAGGTGCCATGCGGCCTGCCATGTGGCACCGTGCACCCGTGTCGGGATTGAGGTGGCATCTCGTAGGTGCCATGCGGCCTGCCATGTGGCACCGTGCAGCCGTGTCGGGATTGAGGTGGCATCTCGTAGGTGCCATGCGGCCTGCCATGTGGCACCGTGCAGCCGTGTCGGGATTGAGGTGGCATCTCGTAGGTGCCATGCGGCCTGCCATGTGGCACCGTGCAGCCGTGTCGGGATTGAGGTGGCATCTCGTAGGTGCCATGCGGCCTGCCATGTGGCACCGTGCACCCGTGTTGGGATTGAGGTGGCATCTCGTAGGTGCCATGCGGCCTGCCATGTGGTACTGTGCAGCCGTGTCGGGATTGAGGTGGCATCTCGTAGGTGCCATGCGGCCTGCCATGCGGCACCGTGCGCCCATGTCGGGATTAAGGTGGCATCTCGTAGGTGCCATGCGGCCTGCCATGTGGCACCGTGCACCCGTATCGGGATTGAGGTGGCATCTCCTGCCCTCTCCACACCACCATCCCGTCAGTTCACCAGTAACACTTCAAGGCCAGGTAGGACATTTGTGGTGAACCAGAGTGAAAGATCACCCATGATGGATGTAAACCTGAGAAACAGCCTCTGGGGCTGGGGGCTTCTCGTTTCCCGTGTGTTGTGCTGGATTCCTGCCTGTTATGTGCGTCGCTTTGCTATTAAGAGGAGCACCTGCCATCCTGGTGGTGGTGTCCCTGCTCATCCACCGTGGCCAGGGTTGTGCTGGCCTGGTGTGGAGATTTGCGTGTTTGCATGTTTTTAGACTCTGCAGTACTTACAACAGAATGCGAAAGAAAGAGCTGAGCTTGCAGCCGCCACTGTGGGCAGCAGTGCCACCAGCATCAGCGTCCCTGCGGCGGCCTCCAAGATCTCCATGCAGGAGCTCGAGGAGCTGAGGAAGCAGCTTGGCAGCGTGGCCACGGGCTCCACACTGCAGCAGGTACTGCATCTGTGGCTGTCCACAGGCGCCCACTCTCACTGCTGTGCCGGGCCCCTGCTGGAAGGGCACGTCTCTGTCATTTATTATTAGAGAGACTGAGGCTTAACACTTAATCATGACCTAGCTCTATATGTTTAATATTTTTTAAACCTAGAATTCTGGACCACAAGAAAAAATACCAGCGAGGTTCCTACCCACTTGGGAGTCACGCTGCACGGTGGCATGTGGCTCTGACCCCGCCCAGTCCTCACTCCGCATTCATGCCTCTAATTTCTGACAATTTTGAGGAGATGCTTTCAGATTATTCTATTTTCAAGACTCTTGAAAATAGAACCGTTTTTGTTACCTCATCTGTATGTACTACCTGACTTTGTTTTGATTTTCTGTCCTGCCCTGGTCTTTTGATGTAAGTCATCTCCCAGTCTCTCTCCTTGGAGCTGCCACGTTTCTGCCTTTGTGGCCTTTAAACTTCCTTCAGAGCTGCGTCCTTGAGGCATCCTGGCCTTGCCGGGTGTGTGTCGAGTGCAGTGGCTCCAAAGGACCCGGCCGGTTGCTGGACACATCTGTGCCGGATGTGATGCCAGGCCTTTGTCCACGTCTCCCTCAGCCATGGCACCGCTCTCCCCGTGTGGCATGTAAGGAGACAGACTGGGTCTTACTGCCAAGTACAGAGACAGTTTGCACCGGCCACTGTCCCTGACCCACCCTGAGCGGAAGTCAGTGCTTCCGAAAGCTGGGCCAGCCCTGGCCAACTTCGTCAGCCTCTGGCAGCCACTGGTACAGGAGGGCGGGTGCTCTGACCACTTTAGGAGCCACCCTGTTGTGGCGCTGCTGCCTCAACCCTTCCTGGGGCCCTTCTCCGGCAGGGTGAGGATGCTTGTCTGTTGCTGAAGCCTGTTTTCACCCAGCAAAGGTAGTCACTGCCAGGAGGAAGCAATTCTGATTGTTCACAGGGCGCCCTTCTCTGAAACAGCTGCTCTGTGCCGGGGTGCAGCCTCTCCCATGGTTTCCCCTGCTGGTGCTCATGGTTCTTGGGGGGCCCCTTGCTGGACCTGGACCCCTGAGAAGAAGGGCTAGGACTCCCATCTGCCCTGTTCCCAGCCCCTCACGCTGTGGCAGTGCCGAGGTGCACTTCGTTTCTGTGTGGCTGAGTCTTTATCGTCTTTGCAAAGACGATTGTTTCCGCGGGTGTGTCTGTTGTACACTAAAGTGTACCTTTCTGGTTTGTTTTAAAAACGTCCTTGGTAGTCTCTGGAACTTAAAAGAAAGATGCTTCGAGACAAGCAGAACAAAAACAATTCAGGCCAGCACCTCCCGGTCTTCCCAGCGTGGGTGTACGAGAGACCTGCACTGATAGGAGATTTCCTGATTGGCTCCGGCGTGAGCACAGACACGGCTTTGCCGATAGGTATGTGACGCGTTTATTTCTGGCCTCTGCCTGGCAGGACACTGCAGCGCAGCCCTCCCCTGGGCCTGCCTTTCCTCAGGTCCCGAGGCTCCACTCTGACTGGCCGCCGCCTCCGCATTCCCATCCCTGGGTGGCAGCAGAGAGTGGCTCACCAGGGTCCTGGAGGTTCTTCTCCTGTCCCTCCTGCCGGAGCTGCGAGCTGAGCTGCAGGACAGCCTGCAGCCGGCCCCTCCCCAACCAGCATCCTGGTGCCCTGGTGCCCTGGTGCCCTGGGGCAGACCTGCAGGCACCAGAACCGTGTGCAGCTCTCATTTTGACTCCGTAGGTTTCGTTACGGCCGTGCTCTCGGAGGCCTCTTAAAGGTAGTGCTCTTGTAAACAAGATGCAGGTGAGACCACACAGTCATTTCAGGACAGGCTGTTGGGGACCTGGGATGTGTTCGTCTGTCACAATTCATGAGTGCGTTTTTATTTTTTTGAGATGGAGCCTTGCTCTGTCACCCAGGCTGGAGTGCAGTGGTGCTGTCTCAGCTCACTGCAGCCTCCACCTCCCAGGTTCAATCGAGTGTCCTGTCTCAGCCTCCCGAGTAGCTGGAACTGCAGGTGCCACCACGCCCAGCTAATTTTTATATTTTTAGTACAGACAGGGTTTTGCCATGTTGGCCAAGCTGGTCTAGAACTCCTGACCTCCGGTGATCTGCCCACCTTAGCCTCCCAAAGTGCTGGGATTACAGTGTGAGCCACCATGCCTGGTCAAGTACGTTTTTAGATTGGAAAATGAGATTTCACAAACTAAGGACAGAGCAAACCTGCTTGTCTTGCCTCGTCCCTGTTAGTCCGAACTCAAGAGGCAGCATGGAGTGCGGTCTACTTCCCCGCTACTCACGCAGCTCTGCTGTGTAGCCAGAGAGAGGCCAACTGTTGCCTTTGCTAGAAACCCTGGAGAATGGTGATGTGAAATCCACCTGTTTTCCTCATCCCCAAGCAAACTGAACCCTGCTGTAAGCTAATGAAAAGTACAGAAAACAGCCTGCTTTGGTCGGGCACAGTGGCTCACACCTATAATCCCAGCACTTAGGCTGAGGTGGGCAGATTACTTGGGCCCGGGAATTGGAGAGCAGCCTGGGCAACATGGTGAGACTCAGTCCCTACAAAAAATACAAAAATTAGCTGAGTGGTGGTGCACACCTGTCTTCCCAGCTACTCAGGAGGCTGAGGTGGAAGGATCGCTTGAGCCTGGGAGGTGGAGGCTGCGGTGACCTGTGATGTGCAGCCTTGGCAGCAGAGGGAGACTCTGTTTCAAAGCAGAACAGAACAGTCTGCTTTGTGCAGTGTTTTCTGTAATAATCCAACTGGGAAAGCCCAGCCATGAAGACTGTTAGGGAGAGAGCTGCTCCCTTAGCGGATATTCAGTGGGCCGCCAGGGCGGCGGTGGACGTCTGAGAGCTCCTGATGATGCCAGGCAGACTTCAGAGGAGGAAGTTCAGGGCCCTGGCGCCTGGGGTCCCAGCAGTGGAGCTCAGCGGAGCCGGCTTTTTAGAGCAGGAAGCACTGAGGGGGTGTTCATGTAGGAGGCTTTTTCCCCATGTTTCCCCATTCAAGGAAGGGGTTGTACAACAGAGGAATGCAGCATACAGTAATGCCGTGGCGCCTCGGGGCACCTCTCAGCATAGCGGTGACTGGAAGCAAGTGTGTGAGACACGGCTGTGACCCCGCAGCTGGCTCAGGTCAGGAGTGTGTGAGACACGGCTGTGACCCCGCAGCTGGCTCAGGTCAGGAGTGTGTGAGACACGGCTGTGACCCCGCAGCTGGCTCAGGTCAGGAGTGTGTGAGACACGGCTGTGACCCCGCAGCTGGCTCAGGTCAGGAGTGTGTGAGACACGGCTGTGACCCCGCAGCAGCCGGCTCAGGAGTGTGTGAGACACGGCTGTGACCCCGCAGCTGGCTCAGGTCAGGAGTGTGTGAGACACGGCTGTGACCCCGCAGCAGCCGGCTCAGGAGTGTGTGAGACACGGCTGTGACCCCGCAGCTGGCTCAGGTCAGGAGTGTGTGAGACACGGCTGTGACCCCGCAGCTGGCTCAGGTCAGGAGTGTGTGAGACACGGCTGTGACCCCGCAGCTGGCTCAGGTCAGGAGTGTGTGAGACACGGCTGTGACCCCGCAGCTGGCTCAGGTCAGGAGTGTGTGAGACACGGCTGTGACCCCGCAGCTGGCTCAGGTCAGGAGTGTGTGAGACACGGCTGTGACCCCGCAGCTGGCTCAGGTCAGGAGTGTGTGAGACACGGCTGAGCCCCCGCAGCTGGCTCAGGAGTGTGTGAGACACGGCTGTGACCCCGCAGCTGGCTCAGGTCAGGAGTGTGTGAGACACGGCTGTGACCCCCGCAGCTGGCTCAGGTCAGGAGTGTGTGAGACACGGCTGTGACCCCGCAGCTGGCTCAGGTCAGGAGTGTGTGAGACACGGCTGTGACCCCGCAGCTGGCTCAGGTCAGGAGTGTGTGAGACACGGCTGTGACCCCGCAGCTGGCTCAGGTCAGGAGTGTGTGAGACACGGCTGTGACCCCGCAGCTGGCTCAGGTCAGGAGTGTGTGAGACACGGCTGTGACCCCGCAGCTGGCTCAGGTCAGGAGTGTGTGAGACACGGCTGTGACCCCGCAGCTGGCTCAGGTCAGGAGTGTGTGAGACACGGCTGTGACCCCGCAGCTGGCTCAGGAGTGTGTGAGACACGGCTGTGACCCCGCAGCTGGCTCAGGTCAGGAGTGTGTGAGACACGGCTGTGACCCCGCAGCTGGCTCAGGTCAGGAGTGTGTGAGACACGGCTGTGACCCCGCAGCTGGCTCAGGTCAGGAGTGTGTGAGACACGGCTGTGACCCCGCAGCTGGCTCAGGTCAGGAGTGTGTGAGACACGGCTGTGACCCCGCAGCTGGCTCAGGTCAGGAGTGTGTGAGACACGGCTGTGACCCCGCAGCTGGCTCAGGTCAGGAGTGTGTGAGACACGGCTGTGACCCCGCAGCTGGCTCAGGTCAGGAGTGTGTGAGACACGGCTGTGACCCCGCAGCTGGCTCAGGTCAGGAGTGTGTGAGACACGGCTGTGACCCCGCAGCTGGCTCAGGGAGTGTGTGAGACACGGCTGTGACCCCGCAGCTGGCTCAGGTCAGGAGTGTGTGAGACACGGCTGTGACCCCGCAGCTGGCTCAGGTCAGGAGTGTGTGAGACACGGCTGTGACCCCGCAGCTGGCTCAGGTCAGGAGTGTGTGAGACACGGCTGTGACCCCGCAGCTGGCTCAGGTCAGGAGTGTGTGAGACACGGCTGTGACCCCGCAGCTGGCTCAGGTCAGGAGTGTGTGAGACACGGCTGTGACCCCGCAGCTGGCTCAGGTCAGGAGTGTGTGAGACACGGCTGTGACCCCGCAGCTGGCTCAGGTCAGGAGTGTGTGAGACACGGCTGTGACCCCGCAGCTGGCTCAGGTCAGGAGTGTGTGAGACACGGCTGTGACCCCGCAGCTGGCTCAGGAGTGTGTGAGACACGGCTGTGACCCCGCAGCTGGCTCAGGAGTGTGTGAGACACGGCTGTGACCCCGCAGCTGGCTCAGGTCAGGAGTGTGTGAGACACGGCTGTGACCCCGCAGCTGGCTCAGGAGTGTGTGAGACACGGCTGTGACCCCGCAGCTGGCTCAGGTCAGGAGTGTGTGAGACACGGCTGTGACCCCGCAGCTGGCTCAGGTCAGGAGTGTGTGAGACACGGCTGTGACCCCGCAGCTGGCTCAGGTCAGGAGTGTGTGAGACACGGCTGTGACCCCGCAGCTGGCTCAGGTCAGGAGTGTGTGAGACACGGCTGTGACCCCGCAGCAGCCGGCTCAGGAGTGTGTGAGACGCGGCTGTGACCCCGCAGCTGGCTCAGGTCAGGAGTGTGTGAGACACGGCTGTGACCCCGCAGCTGGCTCAGGAGTGTGTGAGACACGGCTGTGACCCCCGCAGCTGGCTCAGGTCAGGAGTGTGTGAGACACGGCTGTGACCCCGCAGCTGGCTCAGGTCAGGAGTGTGTGAGACACGGCTGTGACCCCGCAGCTGGCTCAGGTCAGGAGTGTGTGAGACACGGCTGTGACCCCGCAGCTGGCTCAGGAGTGTGTGAGACACGGCTGTGACCCCGCAGCTGGCTCAGGAGTGTGTGAGACACGGCTGTGACCCCGCAGCTGGCTCAGGTCAGGAGTGTGTGAGACACGGCTGTGACCCCGCAGCTGGCTCAGGAGTGTGTGAGACACGGCTGTGACCCCGCAGCTGGCTCAGGTCAGGAGTGTGTGAGACACGGCTGTGACCCCGCAGCTGGCTCAGGTCAGGAGTGTGTGAGACACGGCTGTGACCCCGCAGCTGGCTCAGGTCAGGGTGTGAGACACGGCTGTGACCCCGCAGCTGGCTCAGGTCAGGAGTGTGTGAGACACGGCTGTGACCCCGCAGCTGGCTCAGGAGTGTGTGAGACACGGCTGTGACCCCGCAGCTGGCTCAGGAGTGTGTGAGACACGGCTGTGACCCCGCAGCTGGCTCAGGTCAGGGTGTGAGACACGGCTGTGACCCCGCAGCTGGCTCAGGTCAGGGTGTGGGTGCCCTCGGCACACTCAGCATCCCAGGAAAGGGGCAGCCTCACCCCACCTCCCTCCCATGGCCACATGCCACAGGTCCAGCCTGCCTCACCTCCCTTTGTCTGCGCCGTCCCTACCCCCTCATGCCACCTGTGCAGACTTGAGAATGGAGCTCACCATGGTGCTCCTGCAGGGGACTGTCCAGCCCCTCACCCCACGATTTGGCCATCATCTCTGTGTGATAGGACAGGTACCTTGGAAAGCACCAGAACCTTGTGGGCATGAGGCAGCTGCCAGGTCTCCACGTTCCTGCCGTGCCTCTGTGCACACCGTGTGGGCGTCCCCCGGCCAGCGCCGCCACGGCAGTGCCCCTCCCATGCAGCGTGCGAAGCTGTTTCCAGGTCTGTGCTGCCTTTTCCCCACGCCGGCACGTACAAGCCAGTGGTTGGTGGTCGTTTGGATGCAGTGAATTGGCAGGCATCGTTGTGGGTGTCTGGATGGCACTGAGCATGTTGGATACTGGGAAGCTGAAGCAACTGACTTCCTTTTTTTTTTTTTTGAGATGGGATCTTACTCCTTTGCCTAGGCTGAAGTGCAATGGCATGGTCTCAGCTCACTGCAGCCTCGACCTCCTGCGCTCAAGTGATCTTCCAACCTCAGCTTCCTGAGTAGCTGGGACTGCAGGTGATCTTCCAACCTCAGCCTCCTGAGTAGCTGGGACTGCAGGCGTGCATCATCACATGCAGCTAATTTTTGTATTTTTAGTAGAGACAGGGACTTGCCATGTTGCCCAGGCTGGTTTCGAACTCCTGGAGTCAAGCGATCTGTCCACCTTGGCCTCCTAAAGTGATGGGATTACAGGTGTGAGCCACCATGCCTGGCCTGAAGCAACTCTTGAGGTCCCTCCACAGTCAGGCGGCCGGCTCAGCACTGCACCTCCACCCCACTGTGAGAACAGGCTTCTCCCCACACGGTGTTGGCCAAGACTTCGTGGCTGTGGATGAATGAGGCCAACATGGTGAAAGTCAGAGTCAGAGGCAGTTCCTGGAAGATGCCCTTGCTGTTCCGGAAACACCCACTGCTTTAGGAATGGCAGGCGGATGCTGGAGGCTTGGTTTTGTGGGTCCTCCTGAACAGGCCACACCCACTGCTTTAGGAATGGCAGGCGGATGCTGGAGGCTTCGTTTTGTGGGTCCTCCCGAGAAGGCCACACCCACTGCTTTAGGAATGGCACACGGATGCTGGAGGCTTGGTTTTGTGGGTCCTCCTGAGAAGGCCACACCCACTGCTTTAGGAATGGCACACGGATGCTGGAGGCTTGGTTTTGTGGGTCCTCCTGAGAAGGCCACACCCACTGCTTTAGGAATGGCAGGCGGATGTTGGAGGCTTGGTTTTGTGGGTCCTCCTGAACAGGCCAGTGGAGTACCTAGAAAGAAAAGGAACTTGAAGTTGCGAAGCGTTGATCTGCCAGCCTGGGCAACATGGCAAGACCCCACCTCTACAAAAGATTTAAAAATTGGCCAGGAATGATGGTACACACCTGCAGTCCCAGCTCTGAGGGAGCAGAGAAGGGAAGATCGCTTGAGCCTGGGTGGTCAAGGCTGCAGTGAGCTGAGATCGCACCACCGCACCCCATCCTGGGTGACAGAGCAAGATTCGTCTCAGAAACAAAGGGAAGCAAACTGGATCTGCGCCGTGGTTGACGCTGTCGCCGAGGGACTCATGTTGGTGCTGCTTGCAGCTGCGCTCCGAGCCACAGGGCCTGCAGTCACAGAGGTGTGAGGATGACAGAGCCGTCGTGTAAACTGGAAGTGTGCTCTGCGGAGCCATTCTCAGCGGCTGGGGCCTGGTTTTGGTGCGGGCTGGCTGGCACCGGGGCCCTGTCAGGCCCATTGGGGACTGTTTCAACACGCTGCTTCCCCCGCTATGGACTGAGAGCTACGGACCCACCCTGGGACATGAGGGTTTGGTGGGTGGATGGCCCGCGGCCGTCCTCGAGGTTTGCTTGGGTGGTTACAAGGAGACTTAGCTGTCTGTCCTGCAACCGTCTCACACGAGTGGATAGAAATGATCAGTTTCCTAACGTTTAAATGATAGCTTTTCAAAGACAACATTGATTTTTTTTTTTTTTGTCCCAGAGTAACCCAGACTCACCAAGTTGTACTTACAAATGCTGAAAGTACAACCTCCGCTGGAGTTGGTTTTTAAACCCTGAACTTCATCTTTTCAAATGTCAGGCACGTGTGTGAGCATCTCGGAGTCCCATGTGGTGAGACCTGACGTGAGCCACCGCGTCTCCTAGGCCAGCCCGACCTGCAGTGGGTGGAACTCAGCCAAGCACTGAGCTCCCCAGTGGGTCAGTCAGAGCCAAACGCAGAGGCTGACCTTTCATTCCCATAAACAGTCAGTTGGGGCATTATAACAATGAGCAAGAATGAGACTGACCGAGGATGAGGGCACAGTGGGGGGTGGGGTGGGGGCCAAGGAGCTGCAGTGCTATCTGTGCCCACAGGCACGCTGCCCCTAGCCTCGCAGGAGTCAGCCGTGGTGGAGGACCTGCTGTATGTGCTGGTGGGCGTGGACGGGAGGCATGTTACTGCTCAGCCCCTGGCCGGGAGGCAGAGCCGGACCTTCCTTGTGGACCCCAACCTGGACCTGTCCATCAGGGAGCTGGTGAACAGGATCCTGCCGGTGGCTGCCAGCTACTCCACTGTGACCAGGTGGGCACCGGGCGCAGTCCCTGCGGGCTTACACTGCTGTGAGGGAGGGGTCAGGGCCCATCCTGATGTCCACGGAGACATCTGCAACCCTTCTAAAGAGAGCCCCCACCTTGGGGACAACTCCGTGACCGGCTCAGCTTTGGAGGGTCCTGACTCATCTCCTCGTAGGAGCAAAAGTTCCCCTCTGGGATTTGAGTGAGTCATTTACTTCCTGTGTAGGGATGAGACTCAGAATATCTGACCTTTTATCTGGATGTAGATTGCCTTTTTGCAGAAGTTGATAGCTCTTCTCATAGGTTCATCGAAGAGAAGTCTTCCTTTGAGTATGGGCAGGTGAACCACGCCCTGGCAGCCGCCATGCGCACCCTGGTCAAGGAGCACCTGATTCTGGTGTCACAGCTGGAGCAGCTGCACAGGCAGGGCCTCCTGTCACTGCAGAAGCTCTGGTTCTACATCCAGCCGGCCATGCGCACCATGGACATCCTCGCCTCCCTTGGTGCGTGCCCGCTGGGGAGAGTGGGGCAGTGGGTGGCAGGTGTCACAATGCAGCACCCAGTGTGTTGTGGAGCCGCCGCCCAGGCGAGGAGCCTGCAGCCAAAGCCCGTGTGGCTCCGTGTGTTGTTATTTGCGAGAGGAAAGCCCTGGGGGCTCTCACTGGTCAGCTTTCATCAGCAGCTACAACCTTGCAGATTGTGTACATCCCACACACGCAGCACCGTCCCAGTGAGAAGGCAGGAGAAGTGCAGGAGGCCCCAGCAGGGTCGTTGGCAGTCTGAGCGTGTGCTTCCCTCTCAGCAGTAAGCTCCCTCCTCCCCGCAGCCACCTCAGTGGACAAAGGCGAGTGTCTTGGGGGATCCACGCTGAGCCTGCTTCACGATAGGAGCTTCAGCTACACTGGGGACAGCCAGGCGCAGGAGCTGTGCCTGTACCTGACCAAGGCGGCCAGTGCTCCCTACTTCGAGGTTCTGGAGAAGTGGATCTACAGGGGCATCATCCATGACCCGTACAGGTAGGGCTCCTGGGGACATGGGGGGCACATTCTGCCCTCTCCCATGCAGGTAGGGCTCCCGGGGACATGGAGGGCACATTCTGCCCTCTCCCATATGGGTAGGGCTACTGGGGACATGGTGGGGTATGTGCTGCCCTCTCCCACACGGGTAGGGCTCCCGGGGACATGGGGGGCGCATTCTGCCCTCTCCCATATGGGTAGGGACATGGGGGACACAGAGGGGTGTGTGCTGCCCTCTCCCGTACGGGTAGGGACATGGGGGACACAGAGGGGTGTGTGCTGCCCTCTCCCGTACGGGTAGGGACATGGGGGACACAGAGGGGTGTGTGCTGCCCTCTCCCGTACGGGTAGGGACATGGGGGACACAGAGGGGTGTGTGCTGCCCTCTCCCGTACGGGTAGGGACATGGGGGACACAGAGGGGTGTGTGCTGCCCTCTCCCGTACGGGTAGGGACATGGGGGACACAGAGGGGTGTGTGCTGCCCTCTCCCGTACGGGTAGGGACATGGGGGACACAGAGGGGTGTGTGCTGCCCTCTCCCGTACGGGTAGGGACATGGGGGACACAGAGGGGTGTGTGCTGCCCTCTCCCGTACGGGTAGGGACATGGGGGACACAGAGGGGTGTGTGCTGCCCTCTCCCATATGGGTAGGGCTCCCAGGGACACAGGTGTGTGCTGCCCTCTCCCATATGGGTAGGGACATGGGGGACACAGAGGGGTGTGTGCTGCCCTCTCCCATATGGGTAGGGCTCCCAGGGACACAGAGAGGTGTGTGCTGCCCTCTCCCATATGGGTAGGGACATGGGGGACACAGAGAGGTGTGTGCTGCCCTCTCCCATACGGGTAGGGACATGGGGGACACAGAGGTGTGTGTGCTGCCCTCTCCCATATGGGTAGGGACATGGAGGACACAGAGGGGTGTGTGCTGCCCTCTCCCATATGGGTAGGGCTCTCCTGGGGACACGGAGGATACGTGCTGCCCTCTCCTGTATAGTTAGGGCTCCTGAGGACATGGGGGACATGGAGGATGTGTGCTGCTGTCTCTGGGGTCAGAGCCTTGCTTTGCTTGTGGTCTCCGGAAAGCACACACTGGGCAGACGTGCACCTGCTGCCCACGTGGCCAGGGCAGCTGCTTAGGGCCTTCCTCTTTGTGTGCAGGACGTGAAATGCCTTCGTTAGGCCCTTCAGCCAGTTCGGTGCAAGGACCTCCTGAACTGGTGGGGTCTGTCGGCTTCTCTACAGCGATATATGTTTAAATTCATAAAAACATGTTTGTTTGCAAAGAATTTTACTATAGTCTATTATGTTAAGATACAGTTGGTGAAATATTTTGAAAAGATGCATTTGTGTTATGGAAATACGTATTTCTTTACCGATGGACCAAATAAAATCTTGTATAATGGGCCTAGCAAAGAAAGCAGCTTCACACTTGACGTGCTAAATGACATTTGAAGTTGTTCCAGTGGCGACGTGCAGGCAGGTGTCTGCTTTCTGTTGGTGTCTGCCCCACAAGCATCATTTTGGTGCCTGGATTCATCGTGGAAGGAAATGCTAAATTCCAAAAAGAGGCGGGTGCAGATAAAGACAAATCAGTTTCCCACCCAGCCCCTACAGACCCCACATTCTCCCTGAACCCAGGTTTATACTCCCCGTGGACCCTGCAGTCTCCCTGAACCCAGGTTTATACTCCCCGTGGACCCCACAGTCTCCCAGAACCCAGGTTTATACTCCCCATGGACCCCACAGTCTCCCAGAACCCAGGTTTATACTCCCCGTGGACCCCACAGTCTCCCAGAATCCAGGTTTATACTCCCCGTGGACCCTGCAGTCTCCCAGAATCCAGGTTTATACTCCCCGTGGACCCTGCAGTCTCCCAGAACCCAGGTTTATACTCCCCGTGGACCCTACAGTCTCCCTGAACCCAGGTTAATACTCCAGAGTGAGGTTCGTAGATTTGTTTGAGCCCACAGTTGAGAAGTGGCTGTGGCAGGTTAGGTGTGGCCCCCGTGGAAGGCTGTTTGGAAGTCTGCTGGCCTCTGTCAGGGCTGTCCTTCCATGCTACCGGCCTGGAGAAGTGTGTCGCCTGACTGTTGAGCACCCTTGCTTTGCTCTGTGGTTTTTAGCGAGTTTATGGTTGAGGAGCACGAGCTGCGGAAAGAGCGAATCCAGGAGGATTACAATGACAAGTACTGGGACCAGCGGTACACCATCGTGCAGCCACAGATCCCGTCCTTCCTGCAGAAGATGGCGGACAAGATCCTCAGCACAGGTGCGGCACGCACGGGTGGGCGTGGGGGGCTTGGCATAACTGCCTGGAGAGGCTCCGCCCCGAACTCACCCGGTGGGCGCCCGGAGCCCGGGTGTCTGTGAGTTCGGGGCGGAGGTTACATCTGGCTCGTGAGCTGGGCTGTGCGCTGCGGTGCTGAGTTGGGCCTTGAGGCGGCTCTGTTGCCAGGTTTTTATCAGGTTGCCGTTTTGTCCCTGACCCTAGGAGGCTCTCTCACAAGTGCCTTCTCTATGTTTCGTTTCTGGTTTCTAAAACTCCATCAGCATGACAGGAGACACCGTCGAGCACCCACACCTGCTGGCCGGTGTTTTCGCTCTGACCGCACAGGTTAGGGCCTGACCCGGACCGGGGCAGCAGTGCGGGGACTTAGGCTTGGCAGGTCGGGCCGTCATGAAAGGGGTGGGAAGCGAATAGCCCTCTGGTTCTCATAATGCCTTTTTGAAATTATTTCTCTGCCCTTGGTTAGAAAATTCCAGGTGTGCGGAGCCACGGCAGAGCCTTGAGGCCACCACCTGGGTCTGCAGCCACTGGCAGCAGTTTGCTGGAAAGAAGCCAGGGCGCAGAGCTGCCTTACGCAGCCCATTCTCAGTAGGCCGCCTCCTGTTTAGACAAAGACAACTGGGGCTTGAGATTTTGAATTTGCTTTCTTCCATCCCTTCTCAGGCAAATATCTAAACGTGGTCAGAGAGTGTGGCCATGACGTCACCTGCCCAGTGGCTAAAGAGATCATCTACACATTAAAAGAGCGGGCGTACGTGGAGCAGATCGAGAAGGCATTTAACTACGCCAGCAAGGTGCTGCTGGACTTTCTGATGGAGGAGAAGGAGCTGGTGGCACACCTCAGGTGGTTTCTCTGTCCCAGTGTGGGCACCTGCCTCCCTCTGAAACCAGAGTCTGCGGGACATAGGGCCGAGACCGCTAGGTTCCTTCTGGCAGCTCTGCCTTGTCGTTTTGAAAGTGGGCACTGCCAGATGGTCTCTAGCTTGAGGGCCTGGCACAGGCCGTGGGCGGTGTAGGCCCCGGGTCCCCTTGTCCAGGGGCCCCCGCTCCCCTCCCTGCCCAGGGCCCGCCCCCCACTTCTCGGCTCGTCCTGCCACAGCCCGCACAGTGGTCTCAGAGCCCCTGCCTGAGAGCCAAGTGCTGAGCTCATTTTAGCGCCATGCTGTGGTGAGCAGCTGCAGGCGGGGGCCGTGCTCACACCTGCTCCCTGGCACAGGTCCATCAAGCGCTACTTCCTCATGGACCAGGGGGACTTCTTCGTCCACTTCATGGACCTCACGGAGGAGGAGCTCCGGAAGCCAGTGGAGGACATCACGCCCCCCCGCCTGGAGGCGCTGCTGGAGCTGGCGCTGCGCATGAGCACGGCCAACACCGACCCCTTCAAGGATGACCTCAAGGTGGGTGGGGTGCCAGGGGCCTCCCCCTGCTGCAGGGACCTTGGAGGGGCTGGGAGGAGAGGAGAGCCCAGCCCATCCCTGTCCCCCTCCCCCACCCCCACCCAGTTGAGGCGACTGCAGGGTCTGTTTCCTTCACTCTCCTCTATGGGGGCTGGCTTGCCCCGGTCTCCTGGGTCTTTGCGCCTGTGCCCATGAGGGCCGGGTCTCGGGTTTCCCTGCAGTGCTCTGGTCTGGCCTGGGTGTCAGGCTTTGCTGCTTTCTGGAATGGGTTTGGATGTGTCCCTCCACCTGGTTTTGAAAGGGTTTTGGGAGTGCTGTTAATGCTTTCTGGTTTTGTTTGTTTTTGAGACAGAGCGGCATTCTTGTTGCCTAGGCTAGAGTGCAATGGCGCGACCTCCGCTCACTGCAACGTCCGCCTCCTGGGTTCGAGTGATTCTCTGGCTCAGCCTCCCGAGTAGTTGGGATTACAGGCACCCACAGCCAGGCCCAGCTAATTTTTTATATTTTTAGTAGAGATGGAATTCTATCATGTTAGCCAGGCTGGTCTTGAACTCCTGACCTCAAGTGATCTCACCTCGGCCTCCCAAAATGCTGGGATTGCAGGCATGAGCCACTGTGCCCGGCAATATACATACATATATATATATATATATATATATATATATATATATATATTATTATTATTTTTTTTTTTTAATAGAGATTGGGGGTCTCACTATATTGCCCAGGCTGGTTGAACCCCTGGGCTCAAGTGATCCTTCCACCTGGGCCTCCCCAGGAGCGTGTTGAATGTTTGGCAGGGTTGTCTGGGAGCCCTCGGGCCTGGGCTTGTCTCTGTTGGAGGCTTTTGGGATGGAATGGGTCCCTTGCTGACCATGAGTCTGCTCCGTCCCCCTCCAGTCTCCACCGCGCCCATCTCGAGTCTCTTCCAGTGCACAGTTGATGGAGTTCGAGTATCTGCTTTTTATTTCTGTGAGATGGGTAGTTATAGCCCTTCTTTTTCTGATTTTAGTAATTTGAGTGTTTCGTCTTTTCTTAGCTGATGTAGCTAGAAAGTTGTCTATTTCATTCATCTTTTCAAAGAACCTGCTCTAGGGTTTGTTGACGATTTCTCTGGTTTCTCTTCTCTCACCTTCGTGACTCCTGCGTGCTGCTTAGGAGTTTAGTGTGCTCTTCTTTTTTCTGCTTTCTTAATTAACAAAGTTAAAATTACAGCCATAAACACCCCGCCCAGCTCGGCCTTCGATGCCCCCAGCATTTGCATTTCCGTGTGTCTGGAGGTGTTTCTGGTACCCTCGTGATTTCTCACTTGGACCATCGATGGTTTAGGATTAACTCCCCCGTTTGTTAATGTTCTGTTTTCCTTCTGTTGCTTGTGTCTTACTTCATCTCGTTGTAGTTAGTGAACGGACTTTGTGTGGGCTAAGTTTTGTGAATGTATTGATTTGTTTAGTGGCCCTACATTCATCCTGGAGAGGGTTCCGTGTGCATGGGAGGAGAATGTGCCTTCCACTGCGGGTGGGGGGCTGGGGGCTGGGGTGCTGAGGCCCTGTCTTTCCTCACGCATCTTCTGTCTGGCGGTTAGAAGTTGGGCACTGAAGTCCCCCGTCACTGCAGAACTGTATTTCTCCTTGTAATTCTGCCTGTTCTTGCTTCAGATATTTTGGGGTCTGTTGTTAGAAGCAGGAATATTTTTGTAGGAAAAATTCCTGGTAGTGAAATTGTTGGGTCAGAACACACCGAGGCTGACCTCACTGGAGTACGTTTCAGGACTCGGGGCCACACAGCTGGGGTGCAGTGTGCACACCTACAGAAGCCTCTTGGCTGCTCTGACGGGCGGGAGAAACGGCATCAGGGTTCACGTCTGTGTTTCATCGGTCTGCTGCCCGCCGCCTTCCTCTGCTGTCCTGTCGCTGTGTGGTGGTTCTGCGGGAACGCTGTCGCAGGCAGCTGGAACTTAATAAGTACTCGAGTAATATGCGAGGACAGTATTATTTGCCTGTAGTAACCCTCATATCCTTCATCAAACACGCTTCATTTTTAGCCTGGGCCTGGTGCTTGTCGTGGCGCGAAGGTTTCCGTCCCAAGGCCTTCAGATTCCTCTGACCGTCCCTAATGGTTTTTCCCTTACACCATCCACCGCAGCAGTGGCTCTTTACAAAGTAATTCATCTGAGTTTTCCTTGTTTTGTTTTGATGGGAAGTGGTTCAGTTTTGAATTAGGGTTTATCAGTAGATGTTTGGGTTTTCTAAAAGCCGGCCCCTTATGTTCAGAATGTAGGGCTGAGGGCCCCACAGGGTTGTGAGGTGAACCTTATGCTGTGCTGAGGCGCAGGGTCCGAGAAATAAAGAGACAGGACACAGAAGGACAAGGAAAACGCAGCTGGGCTTGGGGCCACGCCACCTATGAGCGGAGTCAGGCGAGGCCCCAAATGTCCAGAAGCCTGAGTATTTGTTGTGTATAGGTTAGCGGGCAGGGCAGTGAGTGAAGTCATCTTTAAGGATAGTGGTAGGGTCGTGAGCAATAAAACATGGGGTCCACCCCCATTAGGTCACCGAGGCTTGAAGGTGGGCCCTGCGCAGTGCAGAGGGTGCAGTGTGCAATACTTCTATCTGTGGGAAACTACTTCTAAGAAGATTTATAGGAGGACGCTTTAAGTCACTCAGCAGTGACAGAGCTGTCAGGGTTACCGCCACCTGCTGGCAGCTTCCAGTGGGTTCTGTGGGAAGATGCTTTTTGAGCAGCACAGTAGCAAGAGCTGAGAGAGTTCACAGTCACCAAGGTGGATTGCCGGTCTGAGGGCGGCCTTCTGCAAGAACTGGAGCGGGGTCCTACAACTCCTTTATCAGGAGGAGTGGCTCTCGCCCCAAGCCTGCCATACAGCGGGTATCTCTACGATACTGAACGCTGCCGCCTGGGCCGTGGGTTCTTGTCCTGGCATAACTGTTCTTCCCTTAAATCATGCTCTGCACTGTGTCCGCTCTAGGCATTCCTCCGATTATGAACTAAGATATAATTATAGGTATATATGTAGGGAAATACTCTGTAGGCACTCATACTATCAGCTATTATATGATTATAAGTAGAGGATTGTATAAAGGGATTCTTCAAGCCCTAATTCTATAAACTAATACATGATTATGTAAAGGATTATATAAAAGGAAACAGCTGAGTGGTAACACTATAAAGTGAGCTATTCCTCAGGCCCTAACTGTGCCAGGGTTCTGCTTAGCTCTCGTTCCTCGGTGCCTATATGGGGGTTACCCACACAGAATCGGAATTTAGAGAACCTGACACAGCGCTGGGTCTGGAGCGGGGACCAGTGCGGGTTGGGGCTGGACTTTGCGTTTTCTCTAAAACGTGCTTTGTTTCATTTCCTTTCCCCAAGATCGACCTGATGCCTCACGACCTCATCACTCAGCTCCTGCGCGTTCTGGCCATCGAGACCAAGCAGGAGAAGGCGATGGCGCAGGCCGACCCCACTGAGCTGACGCTGAGCGGCCTGGAGGCCTTCTCTTTCGACTACATCGTCAAATGGCCCCTTTCACTCATCATCAACAGGTGCGGGCCGGCCACCCGGGCGATGCCAGCCCTTCATTCAGGTTCGGCAGACAGGAGAACCGTGCCATGCAGTGGCCACCTCGTCCCACGGAGGACCCAAGGCGGCTCTCCCCGGCCTTCAGTGCCTGCGGGATTCACAGGCTGCCCGGGGCCACCATGTAGATTGTGGGGTATGGGCGCCACGTTCATGATGCCGGCCACGGAGGCCCACGCCTGAGGTGCCGCCGCCTCTGTTTCAGGAAAGCCCTCACCCGATACCAGATGCTCTTCAGGCATATGTTCTACTGCAAGCACGTGGAGCGGCAGCTCTGCAGCGTCTGGATCAGCAACAAGACAGCCAAGCAGCACTCACTGCACTCCGCCAAGTGGTGCGCTCCTCCTCTGCCCCCACCCCCGTGCGCCTGCAGGTAGACAGTTCCTCCTCTGCCCCTGACCCCCGTGCGCCCTGCAGGTAGATGGCTCCTCCTCTGCCCCCACCCCCGTGCACCCTGCAGGTAGATGGCTCCTCCTCTGCCCCCACCCCCGTGCGCCCTGCAGGTAGACGGCTCCTCCTCTGCCCCCGACCCCCGTGCCCCTGCAGGTAGATGGCTCCTCCTCTGCCCCCACCCCCGTGCGCCCTGCAGGTAGACGGCTCCTCCTCTGCCCCCGACCCCCGTGCCCCTGCAGGTAGATGGCTCCTCCTCTGCCCCCACCCCCGTGCGCCCTGCAGGTAGACGGCTCCTCCTCTGCCCCCACCCCCGTGCGCCCTGCAGGTAGACGGCTCCTCCTCTGCCCCCACCCCCGTGCCCCTGCAGGTAGACAGTTCCTCCTGTGCTCTCCTACGCATGCGCCCTGCAGGTAGACAGTTCCACTAAGTGGGGGTTTCCTCCTCTGCCCTCCACCCCCGTGCGCCCTCCAGGTAGACAGTTCCTCCTGTGCTCTCCCACGCATGCGCCCTGCAGGTAGACAGTTACACTAAGTGGGGGTTTCCTCCTCTGCCCTCCAGCTCCGTACTCCCTGTGTGTAGACAGTTCCTCCTCTGCCCCTGACCCCCGTGCCCCTGCAGGTAGACGGCTCCTCCTCTGCCCCCACCCCCGTGCGCCCTGTGTGTACACAGTTCCTCCTCTGCCCCTGACCCCCGTGCCCCTGCAGGTAGACGGCTCCTCCTCTGCCCCCACCCCCGTGCGCCCTGTGTGTAGACAGTTGTGCTTTTTAGGGTTCTGGAAGCGCCATCTGGACATGCACCTTTGTAGCTTTAGATCCATCATGCTTCATTTTCCTGTCTGGGGGCTGCCCGGTGATGCTGGCTCTGTCCCTCAGCCTTCTCTGCAGTCCGCCCAGGTCTATGTGCAGGATGACAGCCCCTCCCGAGGGCAGGCAGCCACATTGTGCTGGGACTAGAGGTGCTTTCCAGCTGGTCTGTGGCTCTAAGGTGTTGAAAAAAGGGGTTGATGGCAGAGCTGCCTTATAATTTGTCCAGTCAGGTGTGATGGCTTGTCTGTAATCCCAGCACTTTGGGAAGCCGAGGTGGAAGGATTGCTGGAGCCCAGGAGTTCGAGACCAGCCTGGACGATGTAATGAGACCTTATCTCTTTAAAAAAAATAGTTTTAATTATCTGGGAATGGCTGTAGTTCCAGTGATTCAGGAGGCTGAGGTGGGAGGCTTGTTTGAGCTCAGAAGGTCAAGGTTACAGTGAGCCACGATCATGCCACTGCACTGCAGCCTGAGCTACAGCGAGACCCTGTCTCTCAAAAAAAAAAAATTAGGAGAAAAAACTCATCTCGATCGTGAAGCACAAAGGTGCCGCTGCTGTGTAGCTCCTCCTGGTGTGGGCTCCCAGGGCTCCAAGGGGTCCGTTCACCGAGGAGCCCGAGTCCCAGTCTCCACCATGGGCTGGTGGAGGGTGACGGGTCTCGCAGCCATCTTGAGCATCCCATGTGCTGGGAGGGCGCCTGCTCTGCAGAGGGCACAGCCAGGTCCGGGGGCGCCGCTGGGGCCATGTCCTCCATGTCTGTCCTCTGCGTCCCTCAGGTTTGCTGGGGCTTTCACTCTGCGGCAGCGAATGCTCAACTTCGTCCAGAATATTCAGTACTATATGATGTTCGAAGTGATGGAACCGACCTGGCACATCCTGGAGAAAAACCTGAAATCCGTGAGTTTTAGCCCCATAGATGACAACATTTGAAAGCAGGTTTCCTTTCACATAAGGTGAGGGGAGAAGAGGGCGAGGGGAGAGGAGGGGGAGGGGAGAGGAAGGGGAGGGGAGAGGAGAGCCAGGAGGAGGAAAGGAGGGGAAAGGCAGGGTAGGGGAGAGGCAAGGTGGGGTGGGGGGGAGAGGAGGGGCGAGGGGAGGGGTTGGAGACAGGAGAGGTGAGGGAGGGGGAGGAGGAAGAGGGGGGAGAGGCAGGGGGAGGGGAGGGGAGAGGAGGGCAAGGGGAGAGGCAGGGGGATGGGAAAGGCCTGCCTTCCACAGTGACCAGCTGTGCCCGTCATTGTTTTAGTGGTATTTGGAAGTTTTTTTTTAAAAGCCCGAGACCATGTGAAAGGTGGCTGTGCGTGAACAGGAGTGCGCGAAGCCAGAACTCAGCACATGCCCACCTGGAGCTCGTCTTTCTGAGAAGGGGCTCGGTGCCGTTCCCCACAGGCCTCCAACATTGACGATGTGCTGGGCCACCACACGGGCTTCCTGGACACCTGCCTGAAGGACTGCATGCTCACCAACCCCGAGCTGCTGAAGGTCTTCTCCAAGCTCATGTCCGTGTGCGTCATGTTCACCAACTGCATGCAGGTGTGTGGGCGGCGCGTGGGGGGCGGGCCAGGCATGGGCAGCACGTGACGGGGGGTGTGGGCATGGGTGTGCAGACCGTGGCCCCACGCAGCCCGCTACACCTTTTCCTGCCCCTGCGTCTGTGGAGGAGCCCACTGGGATCTCAGTGTTTCCAGGGCTCCTGGTCTTCCTGGCCAGCTGGCTCTCTCCTGGGGCCCCTGCCCTGGCAGCGTGGGCAGGGCCATGGTCCTCCGGAACCATCCCTCAGCCTCCATGGTGCTGGTGTCTGTCCCGGGCCTCTTCTGATGGCCTTTCGTGCTCTTTTCCTCAGCCCTTGAGTTATTTAATTCCATTAAGTACCTGCGGGCGCTTGTCACCAGCAGCTACCCACTGGTGATGGTGCAGAGCACGAGCGTCTAGTGGCAGAAGGGGCTCCTGGGGGCCTGCGGGGCCCGGAGGGTCTGAGGGTCAGGCTCTCCAGGCAGCACCATGGGGAAGGTTGGGAGGAGGGTGGGTGGGGAGGTGGAGGAGGGCGCGGGCGCTGTGAGCCATTGCTGACAGTAAGAGCCACTTCAGGGTCCCAAGTAGGCAATCAGAAGAAAACTGCTTAGGAAAATTAGCTGGTCACTGGAAGGCAGACCCAGGAATTCTGTGGGCACAGCTAAAGTCATTTCCCCTGCAGCCTCTGCGAGACACTGGCGTGTTCCTGCAGCCTCAGGCTACAGCAGAAACGCTGCGGGTGATGTACCCGCAGGACTCGCGTTTTCTCAGAGCGTTGTGGTTGTAACTAACAAGCACTTCCTTGCAACTCTCCACCGCCTAGAAATTTACACAGAGCATGAAACTGGACAGCGAGCTGGGTGGGCAGACGCTGGAGCATGGCACCATCCCAGGGCTGCCTGCAGGCGCTGAGGAGCGGGTGCGGAAGGAGCTCACCAGGAAGGTGCGTGGCCTCCAGGGTCAGCCAGTAAGAGACGATGCCTCCTGGCCGGGCCGGCAACCTGAGCGTGTTGTTGAAAAGGAGAACAGACCTGCCCACTTTTATTTCCGTGTCCCCTAGGATTGGAGAAAAGGCTTAAAATTAGCTTCTAAGTACGACCCAAGAGTTTTTTTCTCAGCTCTGTGGTTCCCAGTTCAGCTCGCTCTGAAGATCTCAGGGAGCCACCAAGGTCTTCAGAGCAAGCCCTGCACAGGCACCTGGCGAGGGCAGGGCCCACACCTACAATCCCTGCTCTGCGCAGGCCCTGAGTTAGAACCGTCAGGCACTCAGCAGGCACCAACAGGCCGTGTGTCCTCAGAGGCATTGGAGGCACAGCCCCACAGCACTGTCTCCATCGTGGCATGGGTGGGCGGGGGGTGGTCCCCTGGTCACACGCTGGAGCTGGAGCTGGAGCTGGCAGAGTTGGGTTTGGGAGCATGTGACGGACGCTGAGAGGGGCCTCGTCCTCCTTGCCAAGAAGTGGCTGGGAAAGCCTGTTCTTTGCTTACAGATCTGACCCCAAAGGAGAGCTCGAGGCACAGTCTTGTGGGGTCTGAGCCTTGACCACCTCATCTCACAAGGCCTGGAGTGTTTCTCTGAGTGCCAGGTTCACAGGAATGTTTTTTGACGTCCTTCTTACCTTTAGTCCCCTGAAAACATTGTGGAACCCATGTTTTCTATTAAGAACAGAGGAAGGGAAAGGACATTGGCCCGCTGGGAGCAGTGTGGAGCCAGGAAGGCCCGAGGTGGGGGTGGGCATGGCTCACACCCCCAACTCCGCTTTGTTTCCAGCACCTGGTGGAGCACGCCGACGCTACACAGCTCGTGTCCGGCTTCGAGGCCACCATCAACAAGTTTGACAAGAACTTCTCAGCCCACCTGCTGGACCTCCTAGCCCGGCTGAGCATCTACAGCACCAGTGACTGTGAGCACGGCATGGCCAGCGTCATCTCCAGGTGGGTGGCCACCGCCCAGCTCAGCACTGCCCAGTTCAGCCCAGATCAGCACAGGGCCTGCCCAACCCCCCAACCCACCCCACCCAGCTCCTGCCCTGCCCAGAGCCTGCCCCCACCCAGAGCCTGCCCCCACCTAGCACCTGCCCCCCAATCCAGCATCTGCCCCTGGCCCAGCCCAGCCCAGCATCCTCACTACGCAGGCTGGATGCCCTTGCCTCATCTCCCCCACACCCTCCCCTGGCCCACCTGGTGTTGAGAAGGTGGGGCAGGTCTGTGTCCTGGTGCTGCTCATGTGCCACTCCCTGACGTCAGCCTGGCCCTGCTCTCCCTGGGGCATGACATTCTGGGCGCCTGGGCTGCCCCGTTGGGGCATGTGTGTTCTGTGGGGCTGGTCTGGCCTGGGTCAGCTTCCTCATGCTGCACTGAACACCTGGCCTGGGGGAAGAGGCCAGCTCTCCTGGAGGGGACGAGAAAGGTGGCCCAGCTTCCGGCCCAGAAAGGGTGCTGTCCTAGGGTGCTGAGGGGCAGCTGTCCTGGGATGGGAGGTGCTGTGTTTGGAGGTGTGGTGTATCCTCGCAGGGGGCTATCCTGGGGGGTGCTGTGCTCAGAGGTGTGTATCCTTGCGGGAGGCTGTCCTGGGGGATGCTGTGCTCGGAGGTGTGGTGTGTCCTCACGGGGGGGTTGTCCTGGGGGGTGCTGTGCTCACAGGTGTGTGTACTTGCGGGGGGCTGTCCTGGGGGTGCTGTGCTCGGAGGTGTGGTATGTCCTTGAGCGGGGCTGTCCTGGGGGGTGCTGTCCCTGGGGGAAGCGTTGTCATTGGGGGTGGTGCCGTCCTTGGGAAGGCATGTATTTGTGCCTTTAGACCACCCTGTGCCCCCTCGCAGACGTCCTGATTTCCTGAGCAGGCGTTTCTGAGGCCACCCCACATTGAGAACCACCGCTTGGTCCCCCCAGCCCTTGACGTGTCAGGTGTCAGGCATCATTGCCGGGCCCTGCTGGGGTGATGGGAGCCCCAACTTGCTAGGGCTAGGAGAGAAGAAACCTGTGTTTGCGCCTTTGAGCAGGACTGGAGACCTTCCCATCGAAACGTTAGGAGTGTGCCTCCCCCTCACCCCGGCAGGGCGTCCCGTGGTCTCTGTAGCTGAACCCTTCCCCATGGTAGGGGCAGGGCTGCCCCACACGCGCCTGCAGAAGGGGTGTGCGCCCAGCTCCACTGTCCTTCCACACAGGCTCGACTTCAACGGCTTCTACACGGAGCGCCTGGAGCGCCTGTCTGCGGAGAGGAGCCAGAAGGTCGTCCCCCAAGTGCCTGTCCCTCGGGGGCCCCCGGTTCCTGCGCCCAGGGTCGCGGTCACTGCACAGTGAGCCCTGGCTGCAATAAGAAGAAAGGGCGTGGGGGTCAGCAGCTGCTGGGGTGCAAATGGGTCCCAAATGTTCAAATGTAAATGATCTGTGTTCTGTGTGCAGTTTAAATATGAACAGAACGATCGATGTAGCTCACTTTGTTTCTCAGGGTGCTGAGTTTTTATTAGGAGCTACCCAGACATGTGGATGTCTCCGTGGATTTGCTGATCTATTTGCTTTTTAAAATTACACTGTCACCTTTTTGGGTGTTTTTGGTCTCAAAGTGAAAATATGTGGCATTTAAGTAAGAACCTAGCAAAGATATGTGGGGTGAGGTCCAGGCCTGCTGCCCACATCCTTCCAGGTGAGCTGGGGCTGGGCTCCCTGAGGTCGGCCAGAACCCGGAATCGCAGAAACCCCCTGGGCCTCTGGGGTTTGCTTCGGCTCTGGAGGCAGCCCCATTCCTTGTGAGGACTCCCCTGGCTCCACACTCCCCCCTCCACATTCCTTCTGAAGACCCCTGGCTCTGTGTCCTCCCCACCCCCCATTCCTTATGAGGACTCTTGCAGCTCCACACTCCCCTGTCCCGTTCCTTCTGAGGACTCCCCCAGCTCTACACCCCTCATCCTTCTGAGGACTCCCCCCGCTCCACACTCCCCACCACGTTCCTTCTGAGGACTCCCCCAGCTCTACACCCCTCATCCTTCTGAGGACTCCCCCCGCTCCACACTCCCCACCACATTCCTTCTGAGGACTCCCCCAGCTCCATGTTCCCCTCGTTCCTTCTGAGGATTCCCCTGGCTCCATGTCCTTCCCACCCCCCATTCCTTATGAGGACTCTTCTAGCACCACATTCCTTCTGAGGACTCCCCCAGCTCTATGCCCTGCATCCTTCTAAGGATTCCCCTGGCTCCCCGCTCTCCTGCCCCCCGTTCCTTCTGAGGACTCCCTGGCTCTACACCCCCCTCCTTCTGAGGACTTCCTTGGCTCCACACACCCTCTCTTGAGGAGTCCCCTAGCTCCATCCTCTTCCCCCCGCTTCCTTCTGAGGACTCCCAGCTACACACTCCTGCTTCTGCTCTGCCTGATCCAGGGCAGGAGACATAGGCAGGGCCCTCAGGCACCAGGGGAACCCAGACCTCCTCCGTGAGATGCACTCACTGAGAAGTGGCCTTGGGCAGGCTCTGCTGCTGCCTGGAACCCCTGCCCCACCCTGCCCCATCCCATCCGGGGCTGCCTTGTGTCGAGGAAGTTACTCAGCAGACTGGCACCCCACCCAGTCCCCCTCGGGCGGTCATCTGCCCTCTCCCACGTTCTCCAGTGCTACAGTGGGCAGCACAGCCAGCCCTGGTGTGACAGGGCCCTGGGTTCCTCACGGCAGCCCTGGCCAGGGTGGCCTGCTCTGGCTACACTCTGGCCAAGCTGCCCCTTCCTGCAGAACTGCATGTGTCATCACAGTTCAGCTCAGCACCTCGGCCCTCTTGGATGGCAAGGAGGGCCCTGGAAGCAAGGATGGGAGGAAGGTGAAGTAGAACAGAGGGTCCTGTGGGGGGACAAGGGTGTGGGCAGCCCTCTCTCAGGCTGCGGGCAGCCCTCTCTCAGGCTGCCTGGCCAAGAGCACAGCAGAGTGCGGGTGTGGGGGTGTCCGACTCTCCAGCCACAAACTGCTTCCTCTCCATGTCTGGCCTGTGAGTAAACATTATCAGCAGCCTAAGGGTTGTGCAAATACCAGACACGTGAACAGACGAGCCTGCTGGCTTTCCTGCCTGGCCCTGCAGAAGTGGGGTTTGCAGCTGGTGAGGCTAGGAGGGGAGGGCAACCTCCAGGGTTGTGGAGTCCAGGTTTCCAGACCCCTCAGCGCCTGCTGGGTGAAGTCGGTGGAGACAGGTGAGGTGTCTTCTATGGGGTGGGGTGGGACTTCCTCAGCCTGGTAGGAGCCTGTTCTGGCCTGAGTGCCATCCTGTCTTTTTAAGACTAAATCGCTGGTAGCCGGCAGGGGCCTTGCTGTGCTGCTGAAGTGGCCGGCTCGCCGCCTCTGCACTCGTGCCAGCATCCCCAGCCTTACCTGGGAGCCTCACCACATTCTCAGCAGCCTGGGGCCTTGTCCTGTGCCACAGAGTAGCCTCAGGCCAGGAGTGCAGGCAGCAGAAGTCAGCTGCCACCCCGTGCCAGCCCTTGCCTTTATTTTTCTTGCTTTTCATGCTGTTCACGTTGGGGTAAGAATGGCTTTGACACAAAACGTTACAGCTTCACCCAGCTTAGATCCTCAGGGTTCCCTGTCCTCTGGTTAATGTCCAAGGCCCTGGTCTCTTCCTGCCACTGCCCCTTGACCTCTGTCCTCTGCCCTGGGCCCATGCAGGCCTCTGCCTGACCCTGCCCTGGGGCCCTCTCACTCCTGCCTCCCACCTATGCTTGCCCTGCCCTGCTGCTCCCCAGGAGGCCCTGAGCCCTCACTGTATTGTCGGTGGAGCTGCCATTCCTGCCACCACCACTGTTCGCATCCCAGGAGGGAGGCCTGGCTGTGGAAGCCCCAGTGAGGGGTCCGGGGTGGGCCATCGTGGTGTCAGCCTGCACCTGCACCCTCCAAGCTGAGCCCACCTTGGGGAGTGTGCCTACTGAGGCCCAGTGCCCTGGAGAAGCCAGAGCCAGGCCAGGGTCTGTGTCGACCAGCGTCAGCTACCGTCTAGGAATCTTAGGCTGAGGACAGCCTCTGCACCTGCCATCACCTAGGCTGGGACCACCACCTGGGGCTCACCACTCCCCCCTACTTGGCCACCTGCGGGCCCATGCCTCTCCCACTTCAGCAAGGCCTCAGAGCCTGTGGAGGGGGTGCTGGGCTTGGGTGGAGCGCAGCGGCCCACAGGGCTGACCCTATGCCCACGAAGCCGTGACTTGTCCCTGCCTCGAGCTGTCTGTTCCCCAGGAAGTCAGAGTCCACCTCTCCTGAAACCACCAGGCGGCCCTCACAGGTCCCTTCCCCTCCATGACCTGCCCGGCGCCACCTCCTTCCAGCCGCCGGGTCCGCCTCTCAGGCCCCTGTCGGGGCTCTGGCCGGACTTGGGACAGGCTGTGCCTCAGTTTCCTCACTCGTGCAAGGGAGGAAGCAGGATTGTGGAGGGAGAAGGGAACGGACCCCGCCCCCAGGTTCTGCGCGCCCCGCCCCTCCCGCCGGCGGAGGGACCCATTGGCTGAGGGCGCCGGGGCGGGGCGCGAGGAAAGAGCCGCGGGCGGGGAGCGCAGGAACCAGAACTGATCCCGCCGAGCTCTCACCTCCGCACCCCGTCCGCATCTGACTCCCCCGGGCCCCGGCCATGCGCCGCCTCGGGCTTTGGCTGCTGGGCGCGCTGGGGCTGCCCGGTGAGTGGTTCCAGGGAGCCGTCGTGGGCGCGCTCCCCGCACCCTGGCCCGGCTTCGGCTTCAGGCTGGTCCCTGGGTGCCGGGGCGGCGTGCACAGTGGCCTATGAGTGGAGAGACCTGGGCCGGGGAGGCCGAAGGTGAACTGAGCGAAGTCCCGCCTCAGGCGGTCCTCAGCTTGTTAGTGGGGTCGGGCCAGGCCAGCAGGACTGAGGACGCGCGGCCGCTTCACCTGCTGCGGGAGGCGCCCTGGTTTCTTGGGATTCACCTGTGGGGCCACCCACCCCCACCATTTAGCCAGGGAAGGAAGGGAGGGCAGAGGAGCTGGGGCCTAGAGTTCAGGGTGTGGGCAGGAGAGCCCCCAGCCCCGTCTGCTGCCTGGGGAGGAGGTGGGGCCGCTGGTCCTGGACCCCACCCCTGCTCCTGGGAGTGACCTGGGCTGGGTTGTGGTGGGGAGCTTCCCACCAGCTTCCTGGGCAGATGGGGCCGGCTGCTCCCCTGCTGCCTCTCCAGGTTGGAGTTGTGGTCCTGGAGACACATCCATTATTGTTTTTAACGGGAGAAAAGGGTCCTGGGTTGTCGGTCTCCGAAACTCTGCCCATTGCAGGCCAGGTCCCTGCCCTCCGGTCTTGGATACGAGGGAGTTTCCAGTTCTTGGGAGGTGAAGAGCCTGGGCGAGGCCCTTCCTGCTCCCCACTTACATGGGACCAGATGATCAGATGAATGGAGGAGATGGAAACGAGCCAGGCCCGCATCTTCCTCCCCCAGGGGAAGGTTTATCTTTGCCCTCGGGCCCCTCAGAGGTCAGAGAGCAGCCTGGGGGCCTGTGGAATCACTGGTGCCCACAGGGGCTCTGAGTATTGTGTGTGGGTGCTGCAGGACACACGCTCTGCCCTGGGGACTCCTCTGGAGTCTTTTAGGCACAGAACCCTCACTTGAGTGTCCCTGAGTTATCTGGCGATTTCCCCAGGGGAGGGGCAGGCCCAGGAAGTGGCAGAATCTGAGGGCCCAGAAGGCCTCTGGGAAGGAGCCCCCCACATGTGCCTGCTGACTCTCCCTCCTGCAGCCATGGTCCCCAGCCGGCCCTGGGCCCCCTTGGAGCAGTATGAGGTGGTGCTGCCTCGGCGCCTGCCGGGACCCCGAGCCCGTCGATCTCTGCCCTCCCACTCGGTGAGTCTAAGCTGGCTTAGGGGTGTCCCTGGCTGGCTCCTGAGTCTGTTTCTGTGAAAGGACCTTTAGCTTCCAGGAGGTGGTGAGAGGCCAGCTGGGCATCTGGGGCTGCCCTGCTCAGCTCCAGCCCATCTCTGTGCCTCCTCCAGCGCTGCCTGGGGGCTCACGGCCTCCTAGTTCCTTCAGGAACCCTACGGGCCCAGATTGTGCTGGTCCCGGCCCCGCCCCAGTTTCACTTGGCAAGGCTGATAAGCCAAATTCCTCTTTGAGAAGTGAGCTGGCTCACCGCAGAGTTGGCACACCTTCCTGTGTGAGGTCTGACGGGGCTCTCTGGGGCTGGGGAACTGAGAGCAGCCGCCCCCCACCTGCGGGGCTGCCCCAGGGTGATTCCTGAAACCGGAGTCGGGGGGTGAGCGCACATGTGCACTGCATGCGTGAGGGTGCCTGTTTCCAGGGAGCGCAGCTCCGGCCCCAGCCCTGTTCTCACCTCACCTGCCCCCTGCCCTGGGATCTTGTCAGCTGGGGGCACAGCTAAGGCTGTTTGAGGGGCTCAGCAGGCCAAGTCCCAGCCTGCACGTGGGGGCTGGAGACAGTGGGTGAGCAGGAGGCTCTTCAGGCACTACCAGGTCTGGCAGCTGCTGGGAGGGACAGGGCTGGAGGCAGGCCACTGCCGTTGGAGGGGCCTATGCCTGCCGTCCCCGCTGTCCATCTCCTTTGCTGCCTGGCCAAGGCTTGGGGAAGGGGCATCTGACCCATGCATGGTCAGATGGGGAAACTGAGGTGTGAGGCGCCCCATGTCCTTCCTGTTCACCCAAGTGCTGTGCTCCACCTGTCCCTTCCAGCACAGCCCTGCCCCACCCCCACCCCGCCCTCCACTTCCACCCTCTACCCTGCCTGAGGCTGTGGACACCCAAGGATGGAGCCTTGGCCTGGGGCTGGAGGCCAGCACCCCTTCCCCACCCAGCTGAGCTTTTCTGGTGCCAAGGATTGAGGTGGGTGCAGCCCAGGCAGGCTGCTCACCCAGGCCCCCCTCCCTCAGGGCCTGTACCCAGAGAGAGTGAGCTATGTCCTTGCAGCCACAGGGTACAGCTTCACCCTGCACCTGCGGAAGAACAGGTGAGTGGGTCTCAGGTCGCCCCCCGCACCGCCCCCCTCTGCTGCCTGGGCCTGGCTCCAGCACACCGGTGTCCTCAGTGTCCAGCCTCTGGGCCAGCCTCTCTGCACCAAGGGGGTCAGCCCACGGGGCCGAGGTGGGGGTCAAGGCAGGTCTGAGGTGGAGCTGAGGTGGGGGCCGAGGCCGGGGTCGAGGCAGGGATGAGGCAGCCACAGAGCTTCTTTTCCAGGGACCTGCTGGGCTCGGGCTACACAGAGACCTACACAGCTGCCAATGGCTCCGAGGTGACGGAGCAGCCTCGAGGGCAGGTATGGGTGGGGTGGCCTTCCCTCTCTGAGCCTGTGGAGCTGTGGGGGCACAGCTGTGGACCCTCTTGTGCTTCCCCCGCAGGACCTCTGCTTCTACCAGGGCCACGTGGAAGGGCACGCAGACTCAGCCGCCAGCATCAGCACCTGTTTGGGCCTCAGGTGGGTATGGGGACGAACACCAGAGCTCTGGCAGCAGAGAGGAAGGCCTAAGCCGGGCGGAAGGCCGCCTCCTTCTCACATTCAGCCTTCCCGGTCACGCAGAGGGGTCTGCTCAGGGGCCCTGCCAAGCCCAAGAGGCTCAGCCTCCTGTACCCTCGGGCCTGGAGTCATGCCAGGGGCTGCTGGTGGCAGGGCAGGGGGTGCTGTGGGCAATGGACTACAGCTTCTGGTCCTTAGGGGCAGGGCCCAGTCATCCTGCAGCCCATGGCAGACCCGGCTCCTGTTGCCCTCAGGGGTTTCTTTCAGGTGGGCTCAGACCTGCACCTGATCGAGCCCCTGGATGAAGGTGGCGAGGGTGGACAGCACGCCGTGTACCCAGCTGAGCAGCTGCTGCAGACGGCTGGGACCTGTGGAGTCAGCAACGACACCTTGGGCAGACTCCTGGGGCCCCGGACAGCCGCCGTGTTCAGGTCTCGGCCCAGGGTAAGCACCTTGGTCTCTGTGTTCGCCTGGCCGTCGAGTCCCACCGGCTCCCCGTGCGCTGCATGCTGCTCCCCAGCCTGGAGCAAGCCTGGTGATGCTTCCCCAGCTCTGGGCTGGGGCAGGACACTGGCCCCGGAGCCCTTCGGGAGGGTCCAGGTCCTGAAGCTGGGAAGGCTGATTGGCTTCTTGTGGCTGTTCCCCAGGACCCTCTGTCGTCCCGAGACACCCGCTACGTGGAGCTGTACGTGGTCGTGGATAATGCAGAGGTGAGGTGGGTGCGGGGGTGGGGAAGGTGGGAGGGTGGTGACGGGGGGCTGGGGAAGGTGGGAGGGCAGCTGGTGGGGGGCAGTCGTGGGTGGGGTGGGCTCCAGCCTGAAGGTCTCGTGTCTCCAGTTCCAGCAGGTGGGGAGTGAAGCTGCTGTGCGCCATCGGGTGCTGGAAGTGGTGAATCACGTGGACAAGGTGAGCAGCTGCCCTGACTGTGGGGGTGCTGGAGCCCCTGGCGGGTGGGTGGGGGAGTATTGCCATGGGGTTCCTTCCGCCTGCTCTGGCTCTGCCTGGCACCCGTGACCAGCCCCACCTCACAGCAGGACAGATGTGGCCTCTGCCACCCTCCCCATTGTACCTTCACCACCCCTCCTGAATCCCTGGACTCCCCTACCTATCCAGCTGTATCAGAAACTCAACATCCGTGTGGTCCTGGTGGGCCTGGAGATCTGGAATGGTCAGGATAGGTTCCATGTCAGCCCCAACTTCAGCGTCACGCTGGAGAACCTCCTGGCCTGGCGGGCACAGGGACTGACGCAGCGGCGCCCACACGACAACGTGCAGCTTATCACGTGAGCGGGGAGCGGGCAGGGCTGGGGAGGGTGGGTGGGGCATGGGTGGGCAGGGTGGGGAGCGGGCAGGGCTGGGGAGGGTGGGTGGGGCTTGGGTGGGCAGGGCTGGGGAGGGTGGGTGGGGCTTGGGTGGGCAGGGCTGGGGAGGGTGGGTGGGGCTTGGGTGGGCAGGGCTGGGGAGGGTGGGTGGGGCTTGGGTGGGCAGGGCTGGGGAGGGTGGGTGGGGCTTGGGTGGGCAGGGTGGGGAGGGTGGGTGGGGCATGGGTGGGCAGGGTGGGGAGGGAGGGCAGGCAGGGTGGGGGAGGGAGGGCTGAGGAGGGCAGGCAGGGCAGGGTGGAAGGGAGAGCAAGGCTGGGGAGGGAGGGCAGGCAGGGCTGGGACAGGAGGAGGGGCAGGGGGAGGGAGCTGCATCCAGGGCACCTGAGTTACTCTCACTTCCAGGGCCGTGGACTTCACTGGGGATACCGTGGGGTTTGCCAAGGTGTCTGCCATGTGCTCCCACAGCTCGGGGGCTGTGAATCAGGTGAGGGGACCCCTGCCCGGGTTTGCCAGGCCGAGGCCAAAGCCGGATGGGGGACAGGAAGCCCGGGCCTGGGTCACTGGAGCAGGCCTGAACAGCCACCTCCCCTCAGGCCTTGTTCATGCCTGATTTTATGCCTTATGGTGGCGTTGGTAGGGAGCTGTGCCAAGCCCTGGGCTCTGGTGGGGTGAGGGTGGCAGGTGTGGAGGGTCAGCCACGTGGTTCCCAAGAGCACGGTCCCCTCCCACAGGACCACAGCAAGAACCCCGTGGGTGTGGCCTGCACCATGGCCCATGAGATGGGCCACAACCTGGGCATGGACCACGATGAGCAGGTCCACGGCTGCCGCTGCCGGGAGCCCTCCCAGGGCATGCACTGCGTCATGGCAGGCAGGATTAGGTGAAGGGGCAGGGCCCTGGACAGCTGGGGGTGCAAGGCCGGTGGGGAAGGGCCGCCCCTCCCTGACAGGCCATCCCCTCAGCTCTAGGTTCCCCAGGATGTTCAGTGACTGCAGCCAGGCCTACCTGGAGAGCTTTCTGGAGCAGCCGCAGTCCACCTGCCTGGCCAGCGCCCCCGACCTCAGCCTCCTGGTGGGCGGCCCAGTGTGCGGGAACCTGTTTGTGGAGCGTGGGGAGCAGTGCGACTGCGGCCCCCCCGAGGTGCGCCCACGCCCCACACCTGCTCGCCCACACCCGCTTGTCCCGCACCTGCCCCTGTCTGTGTGGTGCTGAGACCTCTGTCCTTTTAGACAGAGGTGGCTGCCCACAACCACATGCAGAACCCAGGGCTCCCTGCGTCCAAAGGGGTCAGAGGGAGGGAGCAGCTGCAGGACACCCCTGTGGTCGGGAGCGGCCGGCCCATCCCACCCTGCAGCCTGCCGAGGCCTTTGCCCTTTGCTGTTGCCCCAGGAATGCCGGAACCACTGCTGCAACTCCACCACCTGCCAGCTGGTCCTGGGGGCACAGTGTGCACATGGCACCTGCTGCCAGGAGTGCAGGGTGAGTGCAGCCTCCCACCAGGGACCCCCGGAGCCCATGGCTGGCAGGTGGGAGGGGACCCCCAGAGCCCATGGCTGGCAGTGCAGCCTCCCACCAGGGACCCCCGGAGCCCATGGCTGGCAGGTGGGAGGGGACCCCCAGAGCCCATGGCTGGCAGTGCAGCCTCCCACCAGGGACCCCCGGAGCCCATGGCTGGCAGGTGGGAGGGGACCCTGGAGCACAAGGGACCAGGCAGCTTGCGTAGGCCTGTCCCTGTGGTGAGCTGTTCTCTGCTGGGCCAGGTGAAGCCGGCTGGTGAGCTGTGCCGCCCCCAGAAGGACACGTGTGACCTCGAGGAGTTCTGTGATGGCCGACACCCCGAGTGCCCGGAAGACGCCTTCCAGGAGAACGGCACGCCCTGCTTCGGGGGCTACTGCTACAACGGGACCTGCCCTACCCTGGCCCAGCGGTGCCAGGCCTTATGGGGGCCAGGTGAAGTGGCACAGAGGTGGCCCGGCAGGGAGGCCACAGGCCTTGCCACAGGCTAACCCGCTTCTGGTCCCACAGGTGGGCATGCTGCCAGGGAGTCCTGCTTTTTCTATGACATCTCACCAAACTGCAGGAGCAGCTGGAACAGGTGAGCTTTTGAGACCAGATTCCCCTGAGCCCAGGATATGTGACGTTCCCACAGCTGGGCCAACCCCAGAGGGCCCTCCACAAAGGAGTCCTGCCTCCAAGGGGTCTGCCCTGGACCCGTGGACCCCAGGCTCAAGCCTGCCGTGTTGTGGGAGGGAGGTGGGTCACCGTGGCCCCCAGCACGTGCCTGGGCAAGCTGGCCTCTGTCCACAGGGCCGACATGTGCGGTGCTCTGCAATGCCAGGGTGGGCAGCAACCCCCAGGGCGCAGCTCCTGCATCCTCAATAACATATGCCGTGCGCTTACCACAGAGGGTGGCACTGCCTACGAGCCAGTGCCCGAAGGCACCCAGTGCGGACCGGAGAAGGTAAGCCAGTGGCTTAGAGGCTACCCCACCCACAGGCATTCCGAGCGTGTGCCCCATTTGGGCCCGGTGGATGCTTTTCCGAGCTCAGCAGCTGCTTGAAACTGTGGGGAGAGTTCTCTCCACACTTCTAGTAGAGGCTGAAAGGTTGCTGGGGTTGGAGGCGCAGTTCTCAGTTCATCTGATGGCCTTCGCTGCCTGCCACACGCACCAGGAAGGCTGTTTCCAGGGGCTCCGGGGGTGGCCAGCCAGCAGATAGGCTGAGGCCTGGCCACCCTGGACATGGTAACCACAGCCCACCCTCTAGCTTACCCAGCGGTTTCAAGGGACACTGGCGGGGCAGGGGTCCAGAGCGGCTGCCTGAGAGACACCTCCCACCCCCAGGTTTGCTGGAAAGGACGTTGCCAGGACTTACACGTTTACAGATCCAGAAACTGCTCTGCCCAGTGCCACAACCACGGGGTACGTGTGGCCTCTCGGGACAGTGCCCCTAGAGCCGGTGCTGGGGGCAGCTCTGGTCACAGAAGCCTATGGCTGGGTGAGCCCAGCATATCATATCTATGGGGGTCTTGGTGGGGCCCGACTCAGGGCTGAGGCTGGCCTGGTGTCCTCCGTGGATGGAACCTGCGTGGTCATTGGCCAGTGGGCAGGGGCTACTCAGCGAGGCCTTGCTGTCAGTGCACAAGAGTGGGGGCCTAGGGGGCCCTCAGTGGTGGGCCTGGCCCAGGGCCCTTGTGCTGGACGCACCGACTCCACTGCCCCTTGGGGTCTGCACCGGGATTGGCCTTGAGCCTGGCCATCTCCACAGGTGTGCAACCACAAGCAGGAGTGCCACTGCCACGCAGGCTGGGCCCCACCCCACTGCACGAAGCTGCTGACTGAGGCGCACACAGGTAGGGCTCCCTGGCCAGCAGAGGTGGGGCTGGGGTCCAAGCTCACAGGCCCCAAATGGAGCCCAGGCCGAAGCTGTGGGCCAAGAATCTGGTGGTGGTCACAGTGCCTGTTTGCCCCCATGGATGCCCCCCACAGGGGTTGGCAGAGCCTGTCTGCCCCTCAGTCCGATGTGAGAAGGGGAGCTCTGTCCTGGGGGAGGCACAGGGGCCATGGGCAATGTCAGTGCACGGCTGTGAGCTGCGACTCCAGTGTCCTCAGCCCAGTCTTCCAGGCCCTCTTCGGCCTGTTTCCACCCAGCGGCCTCAGAGGCACAGCTGTGCCCAAAGCACTGTGAGCACCGGGCCGCCCTGGCAAGCTCTCCCGACCATCCCCCTGGTGAGCTGGGAGTGCCAGTGTAAGGTGTCGGGTCCTCCCCGAGGGGCCCACAGGGCAGGGCCTGGGGTGCTGAGAAGGCTGTGGCTCTGGGAACGTCCCCGGCCCCTGCCTGAGGCTGTGGCTCTCCTGGCTGATGTGGGGCTGTGTGACCCACAGCATCCGAGAGCCTCCCCGTGGTCCTGGTGGTGGTCCTGGTGCTCTTGGCAGTTGTGCTGGTCACCCTGGTAGGCGGTGTTGTCTACCGCAAAGCCCGGAGCCGCGTCCAGAGCAGGTGAGGATGGTGGTGGCTGTGAGGGAGGGTCATGCGGGCATCGGGCGCTCAGCTGTGGGGGAACGTCTCTGCTGCTGGAGGGAGGAATGCCCAGCATGGACCCACGGGGACACCACAGACACCCACGCACCTCCACACCTGACGCCCCCAGCCTGGGCTGAACTTGAAGGCCACTCCTGGCTCCATTCGTCTGGCGCTGCTCTGGACTCTGCCTTCCCCAAGGCTGGGTCAGGGGGACGGTTTCAGGGGCAGGTTTCAGTGGCAGGTTGGGTGTGTAGAGAATCCAGGCCTGGTGGAGCCACCTGTACCCTGATCCAGGCCTACAAGCACCCACCAGTTTTCTGCTGAGCCCTGGCTGTGAGGCTCCACGCTGAGCCCTGCTCCAGGGACCTGGACTCTCATGTAGCAGGAGATGCCCGTGCAGCAGGACACGCTGGCCCCACAGCCTCCAAGCACCTCCCGCCCACCTAACTGGGGCCCCTAGGAGCTGGAGGGGTGTCCTGCCTCTTCAGGGTCCACTCCGTCTCCTGGGCCTGTCTCAGAGGTCCTGTCTGCAGTGACCTCTCCATTTGCAGCCTCTCGGGTCAGCTGGAGGTGGGAGGAACAGACTCGGCGTGTGGTGCTGGGGTCCTGAGGCCAGACACTGACCACATGCCCTGTGTTTCCTTCCCAGGAGCGTAGCCCCCAAGACCACCATGGGACGCTCCAACCCCCTGTTCCACCAGGCATCCAGCAGTGCGCTGGCCAGGGACAGGGCTCCAGCCCCAGTGAAGGTCCCCCACGAGCAGGTCCCCACCACCCACCTGGGCCAGCCTGCTGGACACCCGGCCTCCTCCATGGCCCTGAAGAGGCCTCCCCCTGCTGTAAGCAACTCCCCTGGTGGGTTCCTGGGGCTGAAAGCAGTGCCCAGGCCCTATCCTGCGACCACAAGGGCAGCTGCCCCTGGCAGAGCCCTTTTGTGAAATTTGCGCAGGGGATGGCGGTAGCCCGAGGCCCAGGGCAGCTGCTGTGGCTGCCCTGCTGGGAACACTGAGGCTTTGGGAATGGGCCCTGCTGGGAACACTGAGGCTTCGGGAGTGGGCCCTGCTGGGAACACTGAGGCTTTGGGAATGGGCCCTGCTGGGAACACTGAGGCTTTGGGAATGGGCCCTGCTGGGAACACTGAGGCTTCAGGAGTGGGCCCTGCTGGGAACACTGAGGCTTCGGGAGTGGGCCCTGCTGGGAACACTGAGGCTTCGGGAGTGGGCCCTGCTGGGAACACTGAGGCTTCGGGAACGGGCCCTGCTGGGAACACTGAGGCTTCGGGAACGGGCCCTGCTGGGAACACCGAGGCTTCGGGAACGGGCCCTGCTGGGAACACTGAGGCTTTGGGAATGGGCCCTGCTGGGAACACTGAGGCTTCGGGAATGGGCCCTGCTGGGAACACTGAGGCTTCGGGAGTGGGCCCTGCTGGGAACACTGAGGCTTCGGGAGTGGGCCCTGCTGGGAACACTGAGGCTTCGGGAACGGGCCCTGCTGGGAACACTGAGGCTTGGGAACGGGCCCTGCTGGGAACACTGAGGCTTCGGGAGTGGGCCCTGCTGGAAACACTGAGGCTTCGGGAATGGGCCCTGCTGGGAACACTGAGGCTTCGGGAATGGGCCCTGCTGGGAACACTGAGGCTTCGGGAGTGGGCCCTGCTGGGAACACTGAGGCTTCGGGAACGGGCCCTGCTGGGAACACTGAGGCTTCGGGAGTGGGCGCTGCTGGGAACACTGAGGCTTCGGGAACGGGCGCTGCTGGGAACACTGAGGCTTCGGGAACGGGCCCTGCTGGGAACACTGAGGCTTGGGAACGGGCCCTGCTGGGAACACTGAGGCTTTGGGAATGGGTGCTGCTGGGAACGCTGAGGCCAGAGGACCTTCCTATCTTCAGCAGAGCCCACCTGAGGGCAGACGCAAATGCTCTTGGAGGAAAAGGTGGGGCCCCATGAGCTGCGCACACCCCTCCAGCACACGCGAGAGGCGGAACCTGGAGTCCTGGAGCTGGGGGTGTAGCGGGGGCACGGGGTGGGGCCCCAGCTCTGACCCAGGCTCTCGGCCCTGTCTCCTCCAGTCTCCGGCCGCTGTGTCCAGCACTCCCTTTCCAGTTCCTGTCTATACCCAGCAGGCTCCAAAGCAGGTGAGCAGCGTGATTGGGCAGCGAACCCGTCGGAGGGTGTCCAGGCCTTGCTGATGGGATTGGGGTCCCTGCGCTGCACCGGGGCCAGGGACCTCCCAGGTGGCCCCCACTGTGCACAGAAGGCTGGTTAGCTCGGCCTCACGAGGACATCAGACTGAAAGGCAGGTCAGCAAGGCCTCGGGGAGGCAGCGGCTCTGTCCCGCCCTGTACTGGGGCCGGTTTGGGGGTCCTGGCTCGTGCTTCTACACAGACTGTTCCACTCACCAAGCCCCTCCCAGAGCTGAAGTTCCGGCAGATCCGAGGGTCCCTGGGCCCTGCAGGACAGATGGATGGGCAGGCTCAGGGCAAGGCCTTATTGCAACGCTTCCCTTGGCTTCGGGGGTTTTGAAAAGATCTCTCAAAACCTGGATTGTTGTATCAAGGGTTAACTCCCAGACCTCCATGTCACCCCAGGGTTGGGGTCCTGCCCCTGTGCCCTGGCTCCCATCTCGGCACTAAACTTGGAGCCCTTTTTGAACCCTGTTGGGGCAGCCAGTTGGCCTCAGCCCTGGAGAACTGCTCTGGCCATGGTGGAGAAGGGCCCTGGAGCACCCTTCCTGGGGCCACTGGCTGAGCTGTGGCAGCAGAAAGGGCCGGGCTCTCTCTCTGGGGCCTGGCATGGGGTCCCAGTGGCACCATCAAGGCCACCTGGCATGGCTGGACATTGTGAGCAGTGTCTGTCCTCAAAGAGGGCAGGACTGTGGCAGGCAGGTGGGGCTCTGTGGTACATGTTTAGGGACCTCCTTCCACAGAGGTTCATGGTCAGCTTTAGGACGGGGTTTTGCAGGGAAGACTGGGCCGGCGAGGCCTTGCCCTCTGGGTAGAGGCTTTTCTTTGGTTAACCTTTAATTTTGAACAAATTTTAGACTTATGGAAAGATTGCAAAAATGGCCTAGAGAATCCTGCATGCCCTTTGCCCGGCCTACTCCCAGGTCAGTGCCTGCATGTCCACGGGGAGGCCACACAGCTGAGGGGCCACATCACAGTGCCACGTACCTGGTGCCACTCACATGGTGCTGCCTACGTCACAGTGCCACCCGTGCGGTGCCACCCGCTATCTTTGGACACCCTTCTCTGGCTGTGGTTCCGCCGGCACTGGGCCCCAGCCCCTCGGTTTTTCCTCAGCTGGGGTTTGTCCTGTTGTTTCCTCATGTGGACGAAGGCAGAGTGCTGTGGGCAGGAGCAGCACTGGAGGCGTCTTCCCAGGACACGGCCCAGGCCTGGCCACGTGCGGCGTCGCTCACGGGTGATGCTGACACGGTGCCTGGCTGGGGCAGCGTCCATGGATTTTTCCCTGGAAACCCCCTGTTGTCCTTGTGTAGTTAGCAGATGCCTCGGTGAGATACCTGAGACTCTACCCACAAGCTCTGGGGAATCTTGTCTGCCCCAGTTGTTCTGTGCTGTTTGCCTAGTAGTGATTTTTATTTCTCTCTTTCCTTTTTAACTTTTTATTTGAACTAACTTCAGACTTATACATGAGTTGCAGAAATAGTCCTATGAGGGGTCTGGACAGGCAAAACAGGGGCCTGGGGGCAAAGATTTCTGGCCACGGAAGTGATGGTCGCCAGGCGTGAAGGCAGGTGAGGCAGAGGCTGCAGGAGAATGACAGGAGGGAAATCGCTCACCCTCACGCCCGCCGGCCTCCCCTGGCTGCTCAGCAGGGTCCTTTGGAAGCTGCTGAAACTGCAGATGCTCAGCCCACCCAGGCTCCGGGTGACGCAGCCAGGAGTGGGTGCCACAGCTCCGTGTGCTGGACGTCCAGCCTCCCTACCACGGGAAGCTAAAATGCAAAGAAACACGTTTTAGTTTTAACTATCAGCCTCTGAACTTCAAAATCCCCACATTCCAGCAACTTAAGAGCTCTTCAGGGGCAGCCACGGTGGCTCACGCCTGGAATCCCAGCCCTTGGGTGGCTGAGTCAGGAGGATCGCTTGAGCCCAGGGGTTCAAGACCAGCCTGGGCAGCATAGGGAGGACCTTTCTCTACAAAAGATAAAAAATTAGTTGGGTGTGGTGGCTTGTACCTGTAGTCCCAGCTACTCAGGAGGCTGAGGTGAGAGGATTGCTTGAACCCAGGAGGAGGCAGCTGCAGTGAGCCAAAATCACACCACTGCACTCCAGCCTGGGTGACAGAGGAAGACCTGGACTCAAAATAAAAAAGGAAAAAAAGGAGAAAAGCTCTTCAAGGGTAATATGGGGTCGGGTAGGGGGTGTGGAAGGTGTGCCCAGAGCTGCACTGGGCAGGTGGGCCAGGGATGGGGCTCTGCCTCTGCCGGATTCATTCTGTGGGTGGCGCAGCCGGGAGAGTTTTTCTGCTGTCAGTTTAGTGGGGGCGGAGCCTGCAGGCCCTCGGGGGTGGGGGAGTGGGGGAGTGGGGGAGGCAGAGCATGGCCTGTGGTGAGCTTGTTCCAGGACAGGGAAGGTGGTGGCTCGGGTTAAGGCCGGGACTGCCTGGTGCCCACATCAGCTGTGTCTGTTTCCCTCCCAGGTCGTCAGGCCGACGTTCACACCCCCAGTGCCCCCAGTCAAACCCGGGGCTGGCACAGCCAAGCCTGGTGCAGCTGAGGTGAGGCCCCAGCATACACCGGGCGGGGTCCACTGGGGGGCGTGGCCTGCCACTGGCTCACGGTGGCACTGCCCTGGAGAGTGGGGTTTTTCTCATTATCTGTGGATACACCTTCCCCGTGGTGCTAGGGAAGGGCAGTGGGCATCCCGTGATGTCTGCGCTGCCATCAGCCAACTTCCCAGCAGATGCTGCCCCCACCCTCCAGCTGTTGGTGGTACCTGACTTTCCCCACAGCAACTGCAGGGAAGAAAGTCTTTCCTCTATGGCAAGTGGGCTGTTAATCCTGCGGCTGCCACGCTGCCGGCGTGCAGTGGGCCCTGCTGTTGTGGCTGAACTAAGAATCTACATTTTAAGAAATGTTAAAGGAAGTAAAATTTAGGTGTGCCTTTTATAGCAGGTGGTTTTCAACATCGGTTATCTCTGCCTTCTCCCAGGGGGCTGTTGGCCCAAAGGTTGCCCTGAAGCCCCCCATCCAGAGGAATCCAGGGGCCGGAGCTCCCACAGTGCCCTAGGGGCACCTGTGCCGGCGTGGAATTTTGGAGAAATGGCAATGGAGCAGCCAGCCTTGCGGCATTCCAGGGCCTCGCAGCCCAGGACACCGAGTTTGCATACGCAGCTGCTGTTCTGACCTCAGGAATGCATCCAGCTGAGACTCCTGCTGTCCAGCCCCTCAGCCACTCCCTTCTCCCACCTTGGCCACGCGTAGCTCCAGCCGCCTGCAGGCATCAGGCTAGGATGAGCTGTGTGCCTGTGGGTGCACATGTAGGTACGCATCTCCAGGAGGCCACACACAGCCCCTCCTGGCCATGCCTGCCCTGCCCCGGGGCCTGCTGAACCCTCTGCCCTGGGGATCCCATTCCGGGTAGCACAGACTTGGAGGATCCCCAGAAAGACCCCATCCCAGGACCGGGTTCCCCTGGGTGCTCTTCAAGAGGGTGTCAGTGAGCAGACTGCACCCCAAGACTCTGGACTCCAGGCCCCCTGATCCTGGGGCCCGTTTCCCATGGGATGTGAGAGGGACAGCCCCAGCTTCGTGTGTGTTTAAGCTTAGGAATCTTCTTGGTAGCAAGGACCACGTGGGAGAGTCAGCTGTCTTGTCCAGTCTTCTTCACACCTCAGAGGTGCTTTTAAAAGCAGGGTGAAAGCTTTTATTCTTTAATACTGAGAAATGTATATTTTCCTAATAAATTATTGATCAAGTTCTAAACGACAGAGATTCCTGTTAGATGAGCGGGGAAGGGGCGTGGGTTTTGTTCCCAGATACAAGGGACGGCGCTTTGGTAAAATGCAGCCTGCAGATAGATCAGGCCAAGCTCTTTCACCTCCTCCCTCCCTGGATTTCCCACCCTGTGGAAGCAGCCCTGCCACTCCCTCAGCGACTGCCTGCGCCCCACCGCATCTCCTGGCCCGGGCCCCGCCTGCCACCCCACCGCATCTCCTGGCCAGGGCCCTGCCTGCCACCCCACTGCCACATGGGCTCCTGCCACTGCCCCACACGGCCTCCACACGCTGCTGCCCAGCCACCCACGTGCCTCCTGTCCCAAGACTTTGGCAATGACGGTGGGTGTGCGCATCTGAGAAGCTGTGGGGTCTGAGGGGCTCCCCGCGGCCAGGGCCTGCACCCTCCAGCCAGGAGAAGTGACGAATGGCCGGAGGCGCCCCTCCCGGCTGCTCGCTGACACCCTGGAGTCTGGGGCTGCGAACCCCGCTTTGCCTTTGCTAAATCGACTCAGCCTTATATCTGTAGGATCCTAGGACTCCAGCGTCCGCATGGTCCCACTATGCGCCAGCAGTTCCCAGCCCCAGTGCCACATCCCCTGTGCCTCTGAGGAAGTGGCTTCTGCCCCTGGGCACCTGGGCAGCCAGTCTGAGTGGGAGACATGTCTGGTGCTGCCCCAAGGAGGCCTGACCTTGTCCATCTGTGTCCCCTCAGCCTGTGGCCCAGCCCCACCCCCACAGGCGCGGCCTCTGGGTGGCTGTTCCGAGGCAGAGCCCTGAGCTGACAGCACCCATTTGTCACCCAGGCTGCCAAGCCCCAGCTCCCTTCAGCACGAAGAATGAGAGTGTTCTGAGGGGCAGGCCGTGGCACTGCAGAGGGTGGGCTGCTGTGTCTCAAGCCCTCCAGCCCGCATACCTCCCTGCCATCTCCCCAGCCTCCACCACCCCATTCCCTCCATGGCTGGTGTCTGCCTTACCAGTGGGGACCCAGCGGCCAGGACACACAGACCCCGGGCTCCAACTGTGGCTAGAGGATGAGGAGCAGGTGCTGGCGCTTCTGCAGGAGGCAGTCGGGTGCCGGCGACCTGGCGCTCTTGCTGCCTGGACTCCCTGTGGCTGAAGGACTGGGAAAGGGCATGTGCGGAGCCCAGCAGAGAGGACATGGTCTTCATTCTCTCCAGCCACCCCCAAAATGCAGATGTTTGCTGAGCACCTGTGGGCACCAGCTCTTATCACCTGGGGGTGCTGGCTGGCAAGACTGCTGCCCTACAGCCAGAGCTGAAAACCTTCTGCCAACCTCATATGCACAGAAGACAGCCAGAGGGCCAGGATCCTGGGCAGCACCAGAACAGCCCAACACTCCACATAAGCACTGAGATATGCAGTCCACACCTGGCTCTGTGGGTGCACACCTGGATCTCTGTCCACACCTGGCTTTGTGGGTGCACACCCGGCTCTGTGAATGCACACCTGGCTCTCTCTGTCCACCCTGGCTGTCCACACCTGGCTCTCTGTCCACACCTGGCTCTCTCTGTCCACACCTGGCTCTCTCTGTCCACACCTGGCTCTGTGGGTGCACACCTGGATCTCTGTCCACACCTGGCTTTGTGGGTGCACACCCGGCTCTGTGAATGCACACCTGGCTCTCTCTGTCCACCCTGGCTGTCCACACCTGGCTCTCTGTCCACACCTGGCTCTCTCTGTCCACACCTGGCTCTCTCTGTCCACACCTGGCTCTCTGTGCACACCTGGACCTCAGTGCACACCTGGCTCTGTCCACACCTGGCTCTCTGTGCACCCCTGGACCTCAGTGCACACCTGGCTCTGTCCACACCTGGCTCTCTGTGCACCCCTGGACCTCAGTGCACACCTGACTGTCCACACCTGGCTTTCTGTCCACACCTGGCTCTCTCTGTCCATGCCTGGCTCTGTCCACACCTGGCTCTCTCTGTCCACACCTGGCTCTCTGTCCACACCTTGCTCTCTCTGTCCACGCCTGTATCTCAGTGCACACCTGGCTCTCTCTGTGCACACCTGGTTCTCAGTGCATACCCAGCTCTGTGGTGTAAATCAGCCTTGATGGGCTTCATGGGGCTGTGCCTGGATCTGCAGGTGCATACTGGCTCTTTCACCAGGGGTCTCCAGTTCTCCTGCATGCAGGAAGCTCCTTGCCACACCTGCCTCCTCCAGCTGCAGCCTGCAGGACTCTCAAGGGATGTGCTGACTGCACAGAGACACTCACTCCAGGCCTGCTGGGCGGCACATGGCCACATCCGTGAGAATCCCTCCCACCCCAGTGCCTGCCTCAGGCACAGTGGCCATAGGAGAGGTCGGCCGACTGCCTCCCAAAGCTTCCCATACTGGAAGCACAGACCCTGCCAGTCTCCAGCAGAAAGAAACGTGACTTCCGCCAGATATGGAAAAGCTGAGCTGCCTCAAATGACGTTTCCCAGGTGAAGCCCAGGAGTGACGGCCACATATGGGCAGAGCTGGGTGGCGAGGGGGGTGCTGACGCTCAGCAGCTCCAGCCAGACCAGGGTCCCAGTGTGGAGCCAACACTGCTCCTGGCCATCCCTACAGCGTCCCTTGCTCAGAGACAAACCGCAAAGGGTATGAGGCCTCGAGGTGAGAAGCACAGCCCTGGTGCTGGGCCTGTGCCACAGGACACAGGAGGGGCACAGGACACCTGCTCTTCATGGCCCTCCATGGCCCAGGCCACTCACTGTCCCTGCCAGGGGGCCCCACAGACTCCTCCAGGGCACCCACCTGACTCCATCTGTGCGTCTCACAGCAGCAACAGCTGAGCCAGGGCACCCTGTGGGTCACCTCCTGGTTTCATAACGCAGCTGTGATTCATGCTGCCACACATGGGCCACAGAGCCCTGGCTGGGATGCCGGCAGCTTCCCTTCCCGCCACCACTTCCTCTCTGCCAGGCTGCAGTCAATCTCAAGCCTCAAATGACGCCACTTTCCTGCCTTCCCCTGAAAACTCATCCAGATTCAGGTGCCTGCTCAGGAACTGTGATTCGTCATCATCTCCAAGAGCCGCTTTGGCCCCGGGGCCTGCTGGGCAAGCCCCCCACACTCTGTCCTGCGTCCTGGCCACCACCTTGAGGTTCTGCCCTCCCTGGCGCCTGGGCCAAGGCCTTAGCCCCCTGCAGATCTCAGTTGGAAGCTCAGGGCCACAAACCTCAGGATTGCAGAGCCGCCTCTGGGGGTGAAGGCAGCTGAGAGCAGCCGCTTCTTCCGTGAGTCAGAAGGCAATGCCCCCTCCCGCCACGGACGGCTGCTATGTGGTCCTGCAGGGCGGCTGAGGCATAGTCCCCTCCACCCAGCATGCCTGAAGCACATGAGCTGAGAGGGCAGCTTCCCAAAGACAGGCCTGGTCTGCTGTGGTCAGCCACCCAGGGCCACCTGTTCCCAGAGCCCTCGTCTTGAAGCCAGGCCAGAGCTGCCTCGAGGAAGGGACCATTCCAAGGGGAGCAGCCCCTCAGAGCATGCCACTGTGGGCTGGGGAGAGGCCATGGGTGGCGCAGTCCACAGGGTCCGCCATCTCCCCCATGTCAGGGGGACTGTGGGTCCTGGCTCTGGAGTCTGGGTCGTGCTGGGTCCTGAGCCACTGACCCCTCAGAGATGGAGCTCCGACAGCACAGACCTCCGTGGTCCTGCAGCTGGGCTGGGTGGGAAGTGCCGGGGAACTGCCAGGCCAAGAAGTCCAAGCCAACCCAGGCCCAGGCAGCTTCTGTTGGGAGCTATGGTGGCGCCGGGCCCTGCCCTGCCACCTCAGGTGGTGACAGCACAGGCCACAGCTCAGCTCCAGGGCCCCCACACACTCCTGCGCACCCAAACAGGAGAGCGTGCCACCCTTGAGGAGCCTGCTCCCTCCAAAGAGTCAGAAGCAGGCCCCATGCCAGGGACACATCACAGCCAAAAAGGCAGGTGCCAGGAGACCACACCACAGGCAGAACCAGCTCACCCCCCAAAAGACAGACCCTCAGGAGGCCTCTGCGGGGTCCCAGGCCAGGACGTGGGTGGCGTGAGGCTGGTGCTAGAGGGTGTTGAAGCCGGGAACCCTCTTCAAGGAGTGTGGACCCCATCCTGGCTGAAGAAGTTGTCAGGGTGGGGCTGGCCCTTGGGAGATGCTGCAACCCCTATGCAGGGTACCCCGACTGAAGAGAGACCACCAGGCCACACTGGGACTCCGACTGGGGAGAGACCACCAGCCACATGGGACCCCGACTAAAGAGAGACCACCAGGCCACATGGGACCCTGACTGGGGAGAGACCATCAGGCTGCCCCGGAGTGGGAACTAGGGCCTCAGCACTGGGTCCCCGTAGCGGTGCTGTGCCCACCCCTAGACGCTGCTGAATCCTGGCCTCTCCCCGCTTTGGGTGTGTGGTGGGGAGGGGCTGCTTCTTTCCATCCTCACCCAGCCTTGCCCTTGGCTGGCAAAGACCCTAGAGGACAATGAGCCCTGTGGGAGCTCCCTGGGCTCAGGGGTTCTGAGCGCCTGTACTGGGAACTTGGGCAGCCGAGATGCCACATGACTTCCATGTCCTGCCCTCCAGCACCTACCTGCACGAGGCCATCTAGGAAGCATGTGCCCTCCAGTAGGAAGGAGAGCAAGGAGTAAAACGTTCCGCCAGGAGTGGGGAGTGCCAAGAAATTGGGAGGAACTGTCACAGCGGTTGGAGGAGCGCAGGCCCAGAGCTGAGGACGGGTGGAACCAGGAGTGAGAGGCCAAGAGGGGGCAGGGGAGGTGGAGAGGCACTTTCCTGGGTGGAGAGGCGCTTTCCTGGGTGGAGAGGCGCTTTCCTGGGTGGAGAGGAGCTTTCCTGGGTGGACAGGAGCTTTCCTGGGTGGAGAGGCGCTTTCCTGGGTGGAGAGGAGCTTTCCTGGGTGGAGAGGAGCTTTCCTGGGTGGACAGGAGCTTTCCTGGGTGGAGAGGCGCTTTCCTGGGTGGAGAGGCGCTTTCCTGGGTGGAGAGGAGCTTTCCTGGGTGGAGAGGCGCTTTCCTGGGTGGAGAGGAGCTTTCCTGGGTGGAGAGGAGCTTTCCTGGGTGGACAGGAGCTTTCCTGGGTGGAGAGGCGCTTTCCTGGGTGGAGAGGCGCTTTCCTGGGTGGAGAGGCGCTTTCCTGGGTGGAGAGGAGCTTTCCTGGGTGGAGAGGCGCTTTCCTGGGTGGAGAGGAGCTTTCCTGGGTGGAGAGGAGCTTTCCTGGGTGGACAGGAGCTTTCCTGGGTGGAGAGGCGCTTTCCTGGGTGGAGAGGAGCTTTCCTGGGTGGAGAGGAGCTTTCCTGGGTGGAGAGGGGCTTTCCTGGGTGGAGAGGAGCTTTCCTGGGTGGAGAGGAGCTTTCCTGGGTGGAGAGGCGCTTTCCTGGGTGGAGAGGCGCTTTCCTGGGTGGAGAGGAGCTTTCCTGGGTGGAGAGGAGCTTTCCTGGGTGGAGAGGCGCTTTCCTGGGTGGAGAGGAGCTTTCCTGGGTGCAGCTGGCTGGAAAAGTCCCAGACCTCCCAGAAGGAGCACGTGTTAAATTCCAGGACTTGGGAGGGAAACAGCAGGAGCCGGGCACCCTGGGGGTGTGGTCAGTGTGTTTCTCATCGGGGAGGTGGATGTGTGTGCCCCTCTTGTCACCTGGTGTTTATTTTTCGTGTGCGAAATATAACAAGAATTTTAAGGCAAAAGCACCCGAGGGTCACAAAAGTTGGAAAAAATGGAAGTGGGTGGTCAGAAACTGCTGAGTGACGTGAGCCACTAAAATTACTCAGAAAAAAAGCCCTTACACACAGTACAATGTTGGGTAGATGAAGGAGAAAAGAAGTAAAAATGAATTTTAAAAATCTCCTAAAGCTGCCCTAGTGATGGAAGAAAAAAAAATCTCTTAAAGCTTGTGCTTTTGTTTTTTATTTTTGAGACAGATCTGGCTCTGTTGCCCAGGCTGGAAACAGGTGGTGAGATCACAGCTCACTGCAGCTGAAGCCGTCCTCCCACCTCAGCCTCCAGGGCACCTACCACCACGCGCCACACCTTGGACTCCGGGGCACCTGTCACCATGCGCTGCTAATTCTTTTCTTTGCCTGTTTTTTTTTTTTTTTTTTTTTTTTTTTTTTGAGACAGGGTCTCACTCTGTTGCCCAGGCTGGAGTGCAGTGGCACGATCTCAGCTCACTGCAAACTCTACCTCCTGGGTTGAAGCGATCCTCCTGCCTCAGCCTCCCGTAGTGCTGGGATTACGGGTGTGAGCCACTGCTCCAGGCCACAAAGCTTTTTTAGATCAAGCTGTAAATAACTTTAAATAGTAAATTAGCAGAGCAGAGACAACTGACTGAAGTTATTAGCAATGAAAGCACAAAGGAGTAAGTAGGGGAGAGGCCACCCTGAGCACGTCTGGGGGAGGCGCTCGTGTGGGGGAGTCCAGACTCAGCCCCCTGCTCCCGGGCTCGGCTGGACAGAACCACCAGCGTGATACGGAGTGACTGCTTTTGCTGGTAACACTTTTTTTCTGCAGTGTTCACAATTCTTCATAAGAACTATATTGTTATGTATCGATATTTTGTTTCACAACCAGGAATAAATGGAAACGTGGCTGCTGAGAGCTTGCTGGAGCTGCTTTTCCCTGTATTTTTTTTATTGCATTTTAGGTTTTGGGGTACATGTGCAGAACAGGCAAGACAGTTGCATAGGTACACACAGTGTGTTTTGCTGCCTTCCTCCCCTTCACCCACATTTGGCATTTCTCCCCAGGCTATCCCTCCCCAGCTCCCCCCCTTTGCTGTCCCTCTCCTATTCCCCCCAATAGACCCCAGTGTGTAGTACTCCCTTCCCTGTGTCCCTGTGTTCTCATTTTTCCTCACCCGCCTATGAGGGAGAATATGCGGTGTTTCATTTTCTGTTCTTGTGTCAGTTTGCTGAGAATGATGTTCTCCAGATTCATCCATGTCCCTACAAAGGACACGAACTCATAATTTCTGATTGCTGCATAATATTCCATGGTGTATATGTGCCACATTTTCCCAGTCCAGTCTATCATCAGTGGGCATTTGGGTTGGTTCCAGGTCTTTGCTATTGTAAACAGTGCTGCAATGAACATTCGTGTGCATGTGTCCTTATAGTAGAATGATTTATAGTCCTTTGGATATATACCCAGTAATGGGATTGCTGGGTCAAATGGAATTTCTATTTCTAAGGCCTTGAGGAATCGTCACACTGTCTTCCACAATGGTTGAACTAGTTTACACTCCCACCAACAGTGTAAAAGTGTTCCTTTTTCTCCACATCCTCTCCAGCATCTGTTGTCTCCAGATTTTTTAATGATCTCCATTCTAACTGGCGTGAGATGGTATCTCAATGTGGTTTTGATTTGTGTTTCTCTAATGACCAGTGATGATGAGCATTTTCTCATATGTTTGTTGGCCTCATGTATGTCTTCTTTCGTAAAGTGTCTGTATTTTTGGAATCTGTTTACAGTTGTATCAATCGGCACCTCTCACAGACTCTGAAAGGACATATACGTTTTTTTAAAAAAGATAACTTCCGCAAAGAACCACTGAGGCCTGGCATGGTGGCTCACACCTGTAATCCCCGCACTTTGAGAGGCCAAAGTGGGAAGATGGCTTGAGCTCAGGAGTTTTGAGCCCAGCCTGGGCAACATGGCCATATCCCGACTCTACAAAAAATACAAAAATTGGCTTGGCGTGGGAGGCTGAGGTGGGAGGATCGCTTGAGCCTGGGAGGTCGAGGCTGCAGTGAGTGGAGCTTACACCGCTGTGCTCCAGCCCGGGCCACAGAGTGAGACCCTGAAATGAGAGCTGTGGAAGTGGCTGAACTGTGTGCACTGCTGACCTCCCACCATGGGGGCCTCATCAGGAAAGCAGAGCCACATGGCCGGCGAGGGTTGATGGCGGTGTCCAGAGGCCGAGTGCCCTGGCAGGGTGGCCCCCACACCATACAGCCCTGGGGATCTTTGTCTCCCTCTGCTGAACTCCACTCTCTAACAGATCCCAGAGGCTGCCCAAGCAGGGGTGGTGGGCGGTGGGACCCCAGGGCAGAGGGGCTGTGCATCCTGGGCAGTCCCACCTTTGCCCTGGGTGGTCACCAAGCAGTGCTGGCCACTGTCCCTGGGTAAGGAGCCTGGAGCTGAGTTCACCTGCCTTCTCAGGGCTCCCAGAGGGATGCGCAAAGACCCGACCCAGGCCAGCCTACCTGGGGCTGCAGAGGATCAGTCCCAGCATCCGCCCAGGGCACTGAGGACCCAAGGAGACTGAGCAGGCACTGCAGCCCCTAAGCGGGGGTTGGAGTTGGCAGGGCCATCTCCAGCCTGGGGGAGCCCAGCCCCTGGAATGGACGGCAGTGACCGCAGTGGGGACTGAGACCCGGGGCTGGGCCTGGACTGAGTGTGGGGTGCAGACCCCAGTGGTAGAGAAAGGGGTAGGCTTTGCAAGTGAGTGTGTGTGCATGTAGTGTGCTGTGTGGGGGTGTGAGTATGTAGTGCTGTACACATTATGCGATCTGTATATGTGTGATGTGTAGGGTATATATATATGTGTGGTCTGTACATGTGTGGTGTGTTTGGTGTGTAGAGATGTGTGATGTGTACAGGTGTGGTGTGTGTGTGGTGTGTGGGGTGTGTATACATGTGTGGTGTGCAGTGTGTATGGTGTGTATATGTGGTGTGTAATGTGTGTGGGGTGTGTATACATGTGTGTACAGGTTTGGTGTGTGTGGTATGTATTAATGTGTGGTGTGTACATGTGTGGTGTGTGGGGTGTATATATCTGTGGTGTGTACCTGTGTGGTGTGTGGTGTGTATATATGTGGTGTGTACCTGTGTGGTGTGTGGGGTGTATATATCTGTGGTGTGTACCTGTGTGGTGTGTGGGGTGTGTATACATGTGGTGTGTACCTGTGTGGTGTGTGGGGTATATATATCTGTGGTGTGTACATGTGCGGTGTGTGGGGTGTATATATCTGTGGTGTGTACCTGTGTGGTGTATATATTGTGGTGTGTACCTGTGTGGTGTGTGGGGTGTGTATACGTGTGGTGTGTACCTGTGTGGTGTGTGGGGAGTATATATTGTGGCGTGTACCTGTGTGGTGTGTGGGGTGTATATATCCATGGCGTGTACCTGTGTGGTGTGTGGGGTGTATATATCTGTGGCGTGTACCTGTGTGGTGTGTGGGGTGTATATATCTGTGGTGTGTAGCTGTGTGGTGTGTGGGGTGTATATATCTGTGGCGTGTACCTGTGTGGTGTGTGGGGTGTATATATCTGTGGCGTGTACCTGTGTGGTGTGTGGGGTGTATATATCCATGGCGTGTACCTGTGTGGTGTGTGGGGTGTATATATCTGTGGCGTGTACCTGTGTGGTGTGTGGGGTGTATATATCTGTGGTGTGTAGCTGTGTGGTGTGTGGGGTGTATATACCTGTGGCGTGTACCTGTGTGGTGTGTGGGGTGTATATATGTGGTGTGTACCTGTGTGGTGTGTGGGGTGTATATGTGGTGTGTACCTGTGTGGTGTGTGGGGTGTATATATGTGGTGTGTACCTGTGTGGTGTGTGGGGTGTATATATGTGGTGTGTACCTGTGTGGTGTGTGGGGTGTGTAGACATGTTGTGTGTACCTGTGTGGTGTGTGGGGTGTATATATGTGGTGTGTACCTGTGTGGTGTGTGGGGTGTGTAGACATGTGTTGTGTGTCTGTGTGTGGTGTGTGTGGTGAGAGGCACGTGTGCACTTGAGACATGTGGATTCTAGCCCGGTGGCCCCAGCTCTTGGCCAGTTGCTCCTGGGGACAAAGGCTCCTTAACAAAGCGGCTCTGGCCCCTCCGCCCGTCGTGGCCTTGGAGGGCAGATGATAGTCCCCAGGGCCCAGCGAGCGCTCCTGATATGTGGGTGTGCTCGGGAGAGGAGAAAGAAAATATCAAGCAGCTGTGATTATCTCCTCTGAGGGAGTCACAGACACACAGCCTTGAAACGCCGGCCCTGAGCTTGGGCAGGGCTCCCAGGGCCAGGGGTTAACTCTTTGTCTCCCTCTCCCAACGGAGATGGGGGCTGCCTAGTGTGGCCCACCAGCCCCTTGAGACCATCCCAGAACCTGCCAGGGGCCAGGCGGTGGTCAGCCTCTGGGCACAGGCCCGGCCCTGCATCTCCTCTGCAGCCAGCCTGGAGCAGATCCCAGGGCCTGGCACCACGGGGACCTCCCATGGGGGCCCAGGGCCTCAGGGGCCTCAGCCCAATCACTTGGCCATGCTGCCCTCTGCTCATGCTTGGGGTAACCCCAACAGGCCTCAGGTCCTCACTCTGGCCAGGACCCTGGGAGCCCCCTGAAGACAGAGGAACCAACCTGGGTCCTTGTCACTGCTCCAGGCAAAGGTCCTTTCCACAAACCGGGTGTGGGGCTACCAGATAACTGTATGGGGACACACAGTTAATTCAAATTCAGCTAAACAATGAAAACACATCGTGAAAATGCGTCCCAAACATTTATCCTAAGAAACGGTCTGTGTTCTTCTGAGACACAGCGCTGACCCCATGTCCCATGTTATTCCGGCACGGCTTCCTGGGCTCAGCCTCCCACCCGACAGTGGACACCCCCCGAAGCCGCCGCACAGCCCCAAGTTTCATTTCTATTTTATTTATTTTTTGTGGAATGAACAATCTCGAGCGTACAAGCCCAGTGTTCTGGCAAATGTGCCTGGCATGTAGCCACCTCCTCTTCAGGCCACAGAACATTCCACGGGGGTCCCATCTCCCCATGTGGTTTGGCCTGCTCTGGGGAGGCCCAAGACCCTGCGTCTGCTGCTTTCACGAACCAGTGTCACGATTTTTTATCTCTGCATATGAAGGGGGACATGGGGACGTGGGGACTTGGGGATTTGGAGTGGTTCCTATTTAAGGGCCTTCTTTCTTCTCCTCCCCCTCCTCTTTCTTTCTTCCTTCTTCTTCCTCCTTCTTTCTTTTTTTGAGACAGGGTCCTGCTCTGTCACCCAGGCTGGAGTGCAGTGGCACCATCACAGCTCAGAGCAGCCATGGACCCCTGGACTCAGGTGATCCT